TTATTTCTCTCGCCTAAAAAAATCGATGTACTTCACGCTCACTTGAGACAAGCATGTCCGAAGAATATTGCGAGCATTACCGATGCACCTTGCACCTTGCAAGATGTATTGGCTCGACGAATCTACAAAAGGCGAAAGGAGGGCGAGCGTTCACGGTCGTGACGCAAACGGATCAGCCGGTGCTAATATCGGTAGTGGAACGTGACGATGTCGAGACGAAAAGAAAATGCGAAGGAAAATAAAAGAAAAGACGCATAGAGAAAGAAAAACAGAAAGAGACAGGATAAAGGGGGGCCGGGGACGAGAAGATAGAGGCCGATATTGCTACGGATAATTTACCACGGCCTATTCGTCGAGCTTTAATCGATTCACTCTGTGCTACTTTGTGTTATATGTACAATATATTTTATATATATATATATATATATTTCTGCATGGACATGAGCGTCCGCAGGAGGAGCACTTGCCCACTTTTGGAATCAGTAAAAAAATTAAGAATTTGCTCTCCTTAATAAACACCGAAATTTATTTGCATATTTAATATAAAAAAAAATAAAAAAATAAAAAATTGCAAAAAAATTTAATTAAGAAGAAAAAAAATATGTACCCTCTTGGAAAAAATCCTGCGAACACCCATGTCCATGGATAGTAATTCGTGAACAAGTACTCTCTTCCTGCATTTAGGCGGAATAAAGACGGCAAATCAATTAGCGGTTCCGTTTTAATCGGATACTTACCGCGATTCGACTCGACGAAGCTTTATTTACGAGCTTCTTCTACGACATAGAAGAGGGAAGCGAACGACGAACGTGAAAACGTAGAAGAAGCGATGAAAGGAAGATACTGCGGTCTTTATTATTCGAATAATATTTTAACGATGTGATTATTTTCTATTATTACTGTACGGAACTTTTTTGTGTCTTAAGCTTGAACATATTTATTACACTTTTATATTTATATTTTCTTTGGCTTCAATAATTTATAGACAATTATTGTATCCTGAATAGTTAATGGATATAATATTAGCTATTTTTTTTAATTAAATTACCACAATTTTAATCATATCATCTATCTTCGATCTGCTGTTGCACCTGGCTTTGCTATTCAGAACTTATCTTCCTCATCTCATTGCTTATCAAAACCGTTATGTATTCGAACGCGAATGAACTTTTCTACGAGTAAATACATAAGTACACGAGTACGGAACTCGGAAGGAGCGTGAGGAGATTGATGAAAGAAAAAAAAGGAAAAAAAAGAGGAAAACGGAGAATCCGCAAAATTCCAAAGAAATCGCGCGGAGCAAACCCGGCGTGAAAGAGTGACCCCGGCAGAGAACTCGAGGGAATGCGATCGCGTTTCGGTCAACGACCGCTTTATAAACGAGCGTTTTGTAGCCCGAGAGGTATATATACGTGTGGTGGATTTATACAGCACGCGATGACATTATTTTTAAAGTCGGGCGGGTTTTAACGCCGCGGCGACTCGCTCTCGGGGTCAAGTCGACTCGGCACCGAGACACCGCAGATAGAGAAAGAGAGAGAGAGAACGGGAGATCGTCTTGAAAAAATATATAAAGTCGCGGATCAACGGAGGAGGCCAATCACCACCGCCGATTACGATCGCGCCGCGAACAAGGTCGGGGAAACGAAAGAAACACAGAGACAAAGTTCATCGAGTGAATATCAAGGATTTCTCCTAGAAGTAGAAACGAGTCTGTTCACCATGTTATCAAATGCGAGAGAAGCTCGAAATTATACACATCAAGGTGTCCAGCAGAGTCAATGAAAAAATTCCCTGACTTTTTAGTATTTTTTCCGCAAATATATAATTTGCATATATCTATATGATAGATCAATTAATTGTTAAATCATGAAATCCTTGAGATATTTCTGTCAACAATGAAACGGTTCGGAAGTTACAAAAACAAAAATTTAAATCAATTATACAATCTGCATTATGTACGCGATAATCGAAACAAACATGTTACTACTATAATATATTTAAATAATCGCCTTTTTAATTTATATTGTATCAAATTTTTTAGTTTTATCTCTATCAAACACATTGAAATAAAATAACGCGACGATGAAAATATAAATTAACGAACACGCTGTAGATGAATCGATTTTTAACAACACAGAAAATTAGAGTGCTGGGAGTCAAGGAAAAGTTTATATTTATTTAATAAAAAATTTCAAATTATTGAGAATAATGTGAAAAAATCCAGATAAATGGTAAAATTTCCTCACTTTTCCAGATTTATAAAATTCCTAGACAATGCTCAATTTTGCAGATTTCCCTGACCGCTAGACACTCTGGCATTCTTTCGCGAGTCTTCATTATTTCTTCATTCATGTTCAATTGATCGCTTATTAAGATCGAAATTCATAGGGGATAGGAATGAGGAAGAAGATACACCCTCTCACAAGCATCATCTTTCTAAAATATGTGGAAGATATATAAGTTTCCTTTCTATAAGTACACAAAGAGAATTTTCTCTTAGAATTTATCCTGAAAATCATGAGACAATTGGAAAAGAATTTTATAAGAGTTTCTGTAATTAATATTTATCACAATAAAAAATATTAATATGTACATAGTAAAATTAATCGAACATATTTTATATCTTAATTATTGCGATGAATATTAATATTTTTTTATTATAGTAAATATATTAATCAGAGAAACTCTGATAAAATTGTTCCAATACCATGTTGACCCACGATTATCATAATTTTCAGGATAAATTCAAAGAGAAAATTCTCTGTGGACTTGCAAATCTGCAATTTCAATTTCAACCGGCGCGGCGTCTTATATGATTTCAAGAATGATATTATATTGATTTGAAAATAAGAAAAGCACGAGTAGCTTTCCGGTTTGAAGGATTGAGTAGTGAAATCCGCGATACGCGAGCAAAACTATTTATATCGTCGTTCTCTCCTGGATCCGTAGGTTTTTTAAGAGAAGATCGAGTGAGATGATTGCGACTCGAGTGCGGTAAATGAGATAAACGATACGCCAGAGTAAAGAAAAAGCGGGACCCGGCTCCGAGGATCGTTTCTCGAGCATAGTCTCACGTTCCAGGAAGTTGACCGGCGATGGATATCCGTACGAACCACCATCCTGTACCCCCATCGATTTGCCCAAGCGTTTTGCCTCCGCCTGTCTGTTCGGCTTTACGGCCTCTTCTCTTCTTCTCTCTCTCTCTATCTCGCACTCCGAGCATATTCCGTCCGTTTTCTTTTTTGCCCCCGTCTTCTTATTCCTCTCCCTCGTAGCTCGCTTCCTTTCTCTACTAACAATTTCCATCACGCGATCGGTAGGTGTACGTACGCGTATACAGCCTCCCGAAATAGATATCGAGGATCTATTTCACTGAAGAACTGATTTGCCACTTTACAAGCTAGTAATTTTGCGCTTGGCAAGGTCTGCGTTTTTTCTTACAAATGAGAGATCTTTATAAAATGTATCGAGTATGTGTAAAACGTCGTAACTCTTTGATGATACATGCGCTTTCTTCGAATAAATTGAGGATTTCACAAAATTGGATCGTTATCGGAATGAAAGTTTACGTCTCGTCTTTCTTCATTTACATATCTCGTGTCTCAATTGTTTGTTCGTGAAACGGTAGAGGGAAAGTGTGAATCACACAAGTGAAAAGACGCCGCATAATCGCCTATGTAACACAGAAACATTGCTAATGAGGTACCTTACCTTATACACGAAGACTTCGTTTACCGCGGAATCATGCTACAGTAACGATGCGCTGCTTTCATTCCAATGAAATGACACAATTGAAATAAGAGCATTTTCATTTTCGTAATCACAGATTTCTTATATAATCCTCTAATCATTATGGTGTTCCTTTTTAACAGCAGATTCTCTAATCGATTAAGGTCATCATTTTTTCCTAATTTTCAATTCTATCATATGTATCTTGAAAATTAAGTCTACATAGAGAGAATTTTCTTTTAGAATTTATCTTGAAAATTTACCATAAGAAATATTAATTTTTATAATAATAAGAGATATTAATATTTTTTCTGATGAATTTATTATGATACATTTTTCAAATAATACCATATTGTCCACGATTACCATGATTTCCTGGGTAAATTCTAAGAAAAAATTCTTTCGGTGCACCAAATTAAATTTTACTTGAAATTAACTGAAGAATAAATTTAAGCTTTCGAACAAAATTTGTGACGAGCTCGAAAGTTATCGATGTCTCTTCGTTAAACAAGAAAAAAAAGTCATCTCCAAATTGGTTAGAGAATCTGTTATTCAGAAGAAATTATTTTTAGAATGTATCTCAAGATTCGAACAATATATACAAACGGAACGAAGTTAAACGAACGCGAAGATAACGGTCGTGTCAATCGAACGAAAAAACGCGAGTCCTTTTAGAGAGAGCCCTATAATCAGCCGTAGCTCCGAAAAATCGTTTAATTACGTGACGTGCCATTACATGACGCTACCGAAGAATGCGTAACCTTTTTTCTCCTTTTCAGTGTTTCCTGTTATCTAAATAAAATTATATAGATAATCATCTAGATAAAGTTTTGACATCATTTTATCTTTATATAGCTAATAAAAATATGTATTATCTATATCTGCGCATCTTAAATAAAAAAAAAAGTATTATCTTTACTAAATTATCTAAAATAATATTCAGATAATTTGGTTTAGAGTCATAATAAATAAAAATATTTAAGTAGTAGTAAAACTTGAACAGTAAACGATAAAAACTTACAAATAAAAATATGAATATATTTTCATATCCCTTTTATAATTAACATTTTTTATATAATTGTGTTTACATAAGCAATTTTAAAAGCAGTCTTAAAAATTATTATCTAGAAAATCATCTAGATGACTCGCCATATAATTTTATCTCTTATCTAGATATATTTAAAACAAAATCATCTTCATCTTATCTAAGATGAATTTACATATTTTTATCTCATCTTTTCCTAGCTAATTTACTGCTCCTTTCACAGACGGGAGTACGACTGCCGGAGGGAGCCAGCGCGGCGCTCGCGAAACCGACCAAATATCACTACTATCCGCACAATCAGCACATCTATTTGCTGCCGGAGTGCGCGGTCCAGCAAGTGTGCAACGCCGTTTACGTAAGATTGAACTTCACGCAGCCGCTGTGTGCCTGTCCCGGAAGATACCGGGATCCGTGCAGCGCGTCCTTGGACAGCGACGACCTGCACACGACCGAGCTGGTGACCGATCCGCGAACCAAGGTTGGTTGAACTTTTAAATGACTCTCTTCACCGATAATCTATATCGCCGACTTACACGAAGAGAATTTTCTCTTAGAACTTTCCCTGAAAATTATAGTAATCGTGGGACAATAGGATGGTATTGGAAGAATTTTACGAGTTTTTTTATTAAATATTTACCGCGATAAAAAATATTAATATGGAAATTTTACTATGTACATACACTGACAAAAATGACTAAATTAACGAATATTTATTTCAATACTACCTAATACATTATTTATTTGAAATAAATATTTATTTGTTTTGAAAAGGATTTTCTCATTATTAAATAAATTTTCTTATATTAAATAAATATTTTTTACATCAAATCAATATCATTATAGTTTCAAATAATTTTTTTATTTAACAATTGAAATAAATGCTTATTCGAATTCAATAAATTTTATTTAGTATAGTAAAATTAATCAAACATATTTTATATCTTATTATGATAGATATTAATATTTTTATTGTGATAAATATTTTATCAGAGAAACTTTTATAAAATTGCTCCAATACCATATTGTCCTACGATTACTATGATTTTCAGGGTAAATTTTAAGAGAAAATTCTCTCTCTGTGTATTATTACGAGGAGCAGAGACTCGAGAACGCGATGCTGCATGATAAATGCACAATTAATAAAATGTCATAATAAATCAAAATGGCTCTGATATATAAATATAAAAAGGCTAATAAGAGCTAGGCACATATATTAGGTACAACAAAATTATTTTTAAATTTCTCTTCCTTTATATTTTTTTTTGGATAAGTATAGAAAATAAATATAGCAGAAACTAATAAATATTGTATAAAATATATAAAAGAATTTAAAAATTAATTACATCTGGGGCTCTTACTAATTTTTTTATATCTAAATTTGTATTTAATAAACAATTGTCAATAATTTCAATTAATATTTTAAGTGATTCGAATCGTGAGCTCACGAATGGAGATGATATTATCGATAATTACTCTCGAAATTACACGTGTTGCAAGGAAAAACGATGGTGTACAATCGAGGAAAACGCGAGAGCGTTTAAAAGTTTGCGGCATTTCCTACACAATGTTTTATTCTAGTACTTAAGACATCGAGCTGTCACGGAAACGGTATCTTGTACAAGGTACAAGGCGCCATCCCCGGTATGACCGACTCGGCTCGGATGCTCTTAAACGCGAGTTTCCCGCCATGAGAAAAACTCGTTCACTTTCGTTCGTGTATTAACCGTGACTTGCACGCCAACTCGAATCACCGTTCGAAAAGACAGTCATCGCGGAAGTCCGAGGAACGAATTTAAATATTCGACACGATGATTGTCCCGTATTTATACGGGACAAAGCTTGCTTTCACATTAGATGACTTTTCCAATTTCCAATTTCAATATCACTGTAATTTCATTACTATAACATACCGTAAAATCCTAGCAACGTTGCAATAAAGAAAGGTTTAATATTTTTGTAAAAAATAATCAATAATCAATGCTGATCCCCCCCCAAATACGCTGATCGTGATAATATTTTCAATTTTCATCTCCTTAAATTGTTGTTCACACATTATATATAATGCTATGTAATATATTTTCAAAGAAAATTTTATAAATGTATGTATAAAACTAATAAATAAATATTACATATAAATAATATGATGTACCCGGAGAAAATTTTCTCTTAAAATTTACCCTGAAAAGAAAATCATGATAATCGTGAAACAATATGGTATTGAAAGAATTTTATAAGAGGATTAATATTTACCATAAAAAATATTAATATATATGTACATAATAAAATTAATCGAACATATTTTATATGTTATTGTGGTAAATATTAATCAGAGAAACTCTTATAAAATTCTTCCAATACAATATTGTCGATAATCATGATTTTCAGGGTAAATTCTAAGAAAAAATTTTCTCTGTGTGCACATATACAATATATAATAATATACACTGAAAAAAATTGTTAACTTGGCTAAACTGTTCAACTAAATTACTATTTTGTGAATTAAACATATATTAATATTTAAGTCAAGAGTATGCGCTGTTAGATTTTATATTATATTTAATTTAAATATTTCTTGATGTTCAATTAACAAAATAATATTTAGTTGAACGATTTAATTAAGTTGACAAATTTTTTCAATATCTCTGTATATCATTTATAATATTACTAAAAAATGTGATATAAAACACGTAATTACAGTATCTGATTAACAAAGAAACTTATAAAAGGACAACGCTCATTGCGTACACTTTCCAGGCCTTGACCTTAGTAAAAACGTGCGAGCCGGTTGCCGAGATGCGAGAGTGCAGAGCGTCACGAGATTGGTCCCTACTAGCGTTGCAGAACGTGCGTACAGGAAAATCGCATTACCTCGTAATATGCCGATGTCCCGACACAAACATACTCGGTAAGTGAGAAACAGTTGAATAAAATTTCGCTTGATTGATTTAAAGTTTGAAAATTGATGCGGCAGCTCAATTCCATCGCACCAAGAATTGATACGTAGATTCAAAATGACCCCAAAAAAGGGAAAGAGAGAGAAAACTGTCCTTAATTTTTAGAATGATTATTCTATTGCAATGCAAAGAGAATTTTCTCTTAGAATTTATCCTGAAAATCATATAATAAAAATATTAATATCTACCATAATAAGATATAACATATGTTCGATTAATTTTATTATGTATACATATTCATATTTTTTATTGATGGTAAATTTTTAATCGCAGAGAAACTCTTATAAAATTTTTCCAACATCATATTGTTCTACGATTATCATAAATTTCAGAATAAATTCTAAAAAATTCTTTCTATAGTTTTCCTTATATTAGTTATTCTCCATAAAGTTAATCTCTAGTTTTTAATATAAATATTTAAAAATTATTGAAACTTTACTATACATGTTACTAAAATTAATCAAACATATTTTATATCTTATTGTGATAGATAGTAATATTTTTATCGTGGTAAATATTGATCAGAGAAATCCTAATAAGTTCTTCCAACACTATATTGTGCCACGATTACCATGATTTTTAATAAATTCTCTCTGTGTGGAAATAAAAATGGTTCTTTTTTTTTAAGTTACAAAGAAGTAGAAAAACTGCGAGTTTATGCGTAACACTTTTCATGCTTTTACATTTAATGTTCTGTCTATGTAGAAGGACCTATGAGTCACGATCAGCCGACTTATGCCAGCGTTCCGGGCATTCGAGTATACGGAATGATGTGCGTACAAGGAAATAGAAGAGGACGACCATTGCGATATTCCCGCAGCATTTCGAGTACGCGTTCCAACAATAAATATTACATGATATTTAAAGATGGCTTTAAGATGTAAATTTTACGACTGATAATCTTTCGATTTGTTATTATAGGTCACGTAGAAGACGAGGAGAAACCGCGTTTCCCCTGGCACAAGGTGCGACAGCTGATGGCGACGTCGTCTCTGTGGGAATAACGCAACGCAATATTCCATCCCATATTCTGCCATCGACGAATTTACACGTTTAATTAATAACGCTATTATATTTATAATTCTTCGAGCCGTTCCCCGAGCTCGAATTCTACGTTCCCGTTTCGTTTCCCACGTAGTTTACTCTCACGCTTCCTTAACTCCCGAACGGGCGCACCGGGATCAACAAAATTAATAATGCACAAGCAATTCATACTAATTATTTATTTATTAAACGCGTTTTGTGTATTTTGCCATTTTTTTTCGTTAAATATTCGGACGACTTTTGCGCTTTCGCAATGAGAGTATCGTCACTTCGGCTTGAGAAATGATTTTTTTAAGGAGTAAAATATAGAATAAGAATTTAATTTATTAAAATATATAGAAAAAAATTAATTTCGTAATTAAATGAATTAAATTTTTGCAAATACAAGTGCACCGACGCGCCTGCGCGAAGTTTTTAGTAGATATACGATAGAATGAAATCGCCCCTATGTGATTTGTATTATCATCTTCACTTATAATTAATCATTGTATTTATTATTCATGATTTTTATGTTCATAATATGAGAACTGTCGCGATTAATTATATATACGACACGCAACTCCGATAAACGGATTAACGATACGATAAAGAAGACGAAATGGCTTTGCTTTCTGTAATAATATAAAGAGTCTAATGACGCATAATTTAAAGAAAAGAAAGATAGGAATATATGGTACCTGAGTTTGACATGCAAATTTTATATGTGTATTCTGTCTCTTTCCTTCCCCCTCTCCCAGTAAGGCATTAACAAAAATAATGTCAACCTCTATTATGTAGATATATCGTGCCTGTTTGCTTTTCAATTCAAATTCCACTCGATATGATAATATATTTTTCAATTTAAATTGCATTCGATATATAATAAATCCGCCACTCGCGGATAAGAGAAAAAACATTAAAGTAATATTGAAGGAGAGCTCCGTCCTCTCCGATTTCGTCGAAACTTTACAATATTTGTGTATTTTTGGCACAAAACACAAATATGTAAATTAAAATTGTCGGTTTTAAATAGGAAAAAGTTATAGTATAGGTAATTTCCTCCCTCATAAGAGGGAGAATTTTTACAGATTCGTGTTTCACGCACAAAAATGCACAACATTGTAAGTTTCGGCGACGATTTTCATAAAATTATTACCCAAAATTTAATTTTAAAAAATTGATAAGACTCACCGATACGATGCTCAGTGCAACGGAGTCGTAAACTGTAAAATATAAATATACATGGAAATTACATAGTAAAATTAAAAATAATTCATATTTCGAGAAAACAAAACTTTAAATTATTTTTTACATTAAATTTAATAGTAAAAATAATAACAAATAACTAAATTATTTACCATAATAGTTGCTCCGCCGTTGCCCGATACCAGCTCGAGTCTCCTCCTCGTAGAAGAAGCTTCGAAACACTTGCACTCGCGTTACTTATTTTCGTTCGCAACGTCCGGGTTTAGCTATCACAATTTTTGACGCGTTTCAATGAAACGCGAGAAACGCGAGAGCTTATTCGCGCGCGATTAAAGCCGATGCTCCGTTCTCGCGTCGCCGCTTTTTTAAGGCCCACTTATCGGAGGGCCTTATCACACGACGATGCACTTGGGAGTCGCCGATATTCCTGAATTGGCCACTACACACTTCACTACATTCTATATTTCACCAAGAGTATCGTCACTTCGGCTTGAAAAAATTGTCCAGCAGCGCTCGACGCGATTCCGAGAATTCGGCGCTTCACGAAACAAGAATGTCGTCTTCGAACATATACACTCGCGATCGTCGCGTATTTCGATAATATACGATCACGTACTTCTCGCTCTTCGCCAAACATTCCCGACTCCGGTTTGCGAGAAAATTTCAGCGAGCCGCGTACGATATTGATATATATCAATATGGCGGCGCGACCTTGTCGCAGTCGACCGGCGAATTTTACACTAATTTTCAGAGCCTAATTCGTCGCGGAACGACACTTCGACACAATGACGCGAAAGTACGACCGGAAACGCGCAATCGGCCGCTTAGAGGACGACCGACAACGTCCAAAAACTCGGAAAATTTTCGCGTCGAAAGCGCCCGGTAATTCTCGCGATCCACCCTCGTAAACTCGCGCACGCGAACTTGCGGCGGCCCGAGTCGGCGCCGTGACGTCACGCGTCACGTGACAACGCGCTTTCGGGAGAGCAAGCGTCGAGCAAGAATCGCGGCCGATGAAATCAATCGTTGATCTTGCGCGAGCGATCGCGATGTCAATGTCGATACACACGACGCGATCAGATTTATATATATATAGCGAGTTAATTACCGTATATATATATATATATATATATATATATATGGTAATTAACGACGTGAAGGCGCTAATTAATTATTCACACTACTTTCGCGGACCGACGCGGATGAACGTATGACCACGAACAATACGAAAATGTACCAGAGGGCAGCAGCACACTTGATTGTGTTCCAAAATATATTCTATAGAGATATTCTTAGTCTCCGACTGGTTGACCAATCAGGAAGAGGAATTCTCGAGCTTCGATTTATCGATCAAAATTTAGTCGACCAATCGGAGACCGAGAATTCCTTTGTCCTGATTGGTCAATCAAACGCTTTACCCTAGATTAAATAAATTTTGGAACACAATCTACAATGCTGTCATCTGATGCACTTTCTACTTGTTCACGATCAACATTTGTGCACTCATCCGCACCGGTCCGCGAAAATGCGAGTGTAAATAATTAATTAGCGTCTTCACGTCGTTAATTATCGTAAATATATATAAATCCGATCGCGTTGCGTGTATAAACATCGCGATCGCGATCGTCCGCGCGAGATTGAAGATTGATTTCGTCAACCGCGAATCTCTCCTTTGACGCTCGCTCTCCTGAAAGCGTTGTCACGTGACGTGTGACGTCACGGCGCCGACTCGGACCGCCGAAAGTTCGCGCGCGCGAGTTTACGAGAACGGATCGCGAGAATTACCGGGCGCTTTCGACGCGAGAATTTTCCGAGTTTTTCGATGTTGTCGGGCGTTCTCTAAGCGGTCGATTGCGCGATTCCGGTCGTACTTTCGCGTCATCGTGTCGAAGTACCGTTCCGCGACGAATTAGGCTCTGAAAATTAGTGTAAAATTCGCCGGTCGACTGCGACAAGGTCGCGCCGCCATATTGATATATATCAATATCGTACGCGGCTCGCTGAAATTTTCTCGCAAACCGGAGTCGGAAATATTTGACAAAGAGCGAGAAGTACGTGATCGTATATTATCGAAATACGCGACGATCGCGAGTGGTGTTCGAAGACGATATTCTTGTTTCGTGAAGCGCCGGATTCTCGGAATCGAGTGCCGTTGGACAATTTTTTCAAGCCGAAGTGATGATACTCTCGGTGAAATATAAAATGTAGTGAAGTGTGTAGTGGCGAATTCAGGAATATCGGCGACTCCCAAGTGCATCGTCGTGTGATAAGGCCCTCCGATAAGTGGGCCTTGAAAAAAGCGACGACGCGAGAACGGAGCATCGGCTTTAATCGCGCGCGAATAAGCTCTCGCGTTTCTCGCGTTTCACCAAAACGCGTCGAAAATTGTGATAGCTAAACCCGGACGTCGCCGCACGTTGCGAACGAAAATAAGTAACGCGAGTGCAAGTGTTTCGAAGCTTCTTCTACGAAGAGGAGACTCGAGCTGGTATCGGGCAACAGCAGAGCAACTATTATGGTAAATAATTTAGTTAATATTTATTATTATTTTTAATATTAAAATCAATGTAAAAAATAATTGTATTGCTTCCTGATAGAGAAAACTTTGTTTTTTTTTCGAAATATTAATTATTTTAAATTTTACTACTTATATAATTTCCATATATTTTTATTTTACAGGTATTTACAACTCCGCTGCTGTGCATCGTATCGATGAGTCACATCAATTTTTACTTAAATTTTGGGTCATTTTATGAATATCCGATTTTGCGGAAACTTTACAACATGGTGTATTTTTGTACGTGAAACATGAATATGTAAATTAAAATACATTCCCCTACGGGGCGGAACCCGCTGTAACTTTTTTCCTACTCAAGGACTAGTCAAGGAAGTAATTTTAATTTACATATTCATGTTTTACGCGTACAAAAATACACAATATTGAAAAGTTTTACAAATTCAGAAAGGACGGAGCTCTCCTTCGGTATTACTAAACATTGCGGTGTACATTTGTACATAACGAGTTCGTCATGCTCTGCATGACTTAAAAGAAGGTCGGAAAAATATGTGCTCTCGATGGTAAGAGATTATATATGAATACAGAAATCCCATGTGAGAGCGATTTCTCGTCGATGTAATATTGTATATTATCACTCACCGAGAACGTCGGAGTTAACTAAAACGCTGCAGCTGTACATCGCAGTCATTAGTCGAGGGTGCCGCAGGCTAAGGATCCGTCGACAAGCCTCCTTACACGCTGACATTAACTGACCGCCTAGATGTCCTTGACTTTGACCACCTGAATCGCTGCAACATTAGGCATAAATTTTACTCAAACGAATAATGTCCACCATAAATCCTCAAACGTGCAATTAAATATGAATTTTTTAAATTTCATTAATAATATCTTGCTTCTATCATTTACAATATAACATAAAATGCATTATAATAATATAACTTCCAGAAAGAATGCAAACTCGATATCTGCTTTTTGTGATATATTTTTTATAGTCGCAATTATCAATGCAAGGCATTTATTTTTATATTTAACGAATCACTAGAATGATATTTTAAATTCTCGATGCGTATTTACCTTTGTGGAGTGTCAAATATTTCCCACTTTTTCAAAAGAAAGCAAACACCCATCATAGATTCCTCGCATAAGGGACCAGCTAGAGTGGCGAGTTGAAATCCACTGACTATGCTGTTATCATATCTAAAAAATAATTTAATAATCTACTATAAATACATATTATATTATATTATCACTCGAAATGAATCTCAGCAACAAAGCAAAAGCAGTCAAAATATGTCTTATTTAATATTCATGCATTATATATCAAATTATAATTTATAATATTAGACAATACATTGCAATAAATTATTTTTTCGTTGCATCGATTGTACAGATTCATCTACGCTGAAAAAATGACTAAATTACATAATACATATTTAGTTCAATACTGCCAAATAAATCATTTATTTGAAACAAATAAATATTTATTTGTTTTGAAAAGAATTTTCTTATATCAAATGAATATTATTAGTTTCAAATAAATGATTCATTTGACAGCATTGAAATAAATACTTATTGGAATTAAATAAATTTTTTCAGTATATTTTAAAGGGAATAAAGAGTTCTTGCATGTTAATTTTGAAAGAATACTCACATCGCTCGAGAATCGACACTTGTGCTTTGCTGCTCCCAGTATTTCTTATGCTTATAGTCGGTCTCGTTCAACAAGATATTGGGTCCACATTTCCTAGGCCCAAACGACCATATTTTATCCAATATATTATCCTTCCATCCCGCCTCGAGAAAAGCTGCTTCCAATTCGTTCTTGAAAATTTTCGCTTCCTTCTGCTTCTTATCGGACATAGATCTCTCATTCAGTAGATTTTCATCAGCAAAATTCTCGTGTTCTCCATTCATATCTATATCGCAGGAACTGTCCAACAATTTGATCAAATTAGCATTTTTCTCCAGCAATTTCGTTACATTTTCCGGAAGAGGCTTCGCGTCTATCTCGAAGCGACACTGTCGATTCGACGTCCAAACTTCAAGCTTGACTTCTTCTACCTTCTTCTCGATCGCCTCGTTCACCATATCGAGTTTCGGGGGTGGCACAATGGTCTCGCGGAATGGCACGATTGGATCCGACACGTTGATGTCGACATTTGCGTATTGCAGTTTAAGATCTTCCAGACATCTCTCCAGGTGAACCTCACCGGCCGTGCTCAGGACGATCTCGCCGGTCTCTTGCATGTGAACGATGGCGCAAGCGTCTGCCTGATTCAACAATTTCAAGCCGCTGATAAGCTTGGGCAGGTCATTCGGGTGCTTCGGTTCAAGAGCCACTCGTAAAATGGGAACCGCGAGAGAAGTTAGCTCCGTGAAGGAAGGGCAGGCGATCGTCGTAGAAAGTGTCGCGGTCTTCAGCACGTGCTCTTCAAGGCCGCCGATCCCGAAGACATTACCAGCTGGAACTTTACTCACAGCTTCCAGTTCCCTTCCCATGAGAATGTACAATTTGCTTACAGTCACCTTCGTGATGTGCCTCCCGGGCTTCAAATCCTTGAGCACAAGCGACGAATCCACCTTCTCGCCCGACCTCTCGCGTTCCAGAGCAACCTCGGGCTTATGTTTCGGTCCTAAGACGAATACCTCGTCTCCGAGTTTGATGGTCCCCGAATATACTCTGGCGAAGGCTACTAACGCGCTGTCCGACCTATCTTCAGTGATGTCTTCGTGTTTCGCGTTCTGATCGTTATTACAGACAACTGAATTGTATGTATCTTCCTGATGATTCTCCGTAATAGCTTTTTGCTCCAGTCGTTTCGCATGCATCTGTCGAACAATCTCTCTTCTTTGTGCCAACTCTTCCGCTGTTAAAGATTTTGGTCTATTCTCAGGTAACATATCTCTTTCCACCGGAAACATCTTCGATACAAATGTAATAATGGGTACATTTGGAGATGGATCACACAATAAGAATGATGTTTTGAGTCGTTGTGTTTCAAGTGGTAAAGCAGAGAAGTCGTTATTTCCGCTTATCAATCGTTCAATTTTTTCATCGGTCAAGTTACATGGTGCTGGCACCTTCTCGCATACCATATCAAGACAAGTCTGTGCAAGAGGAAGCCACTGCGAACAAACAGCTTGCAGTTGCGCTTTCGGATCTGTGTGTCTCAAGTCTCGCGATGTCAATTTGATATTTAACTTTTGAGCCATAATTGGCAGTTTATCCTTGTCCTTTCGTATCACTATGGTCTCGTACAACACCCAGATATTATCCAAAATAAATTGTACAAAAAGCGGCTTCTTGGCCTTCTCCTGAGCTCCTTTCATGATTCGTTTGGTTTTGTTATTTATATAAAAATCTCCCCATAATGTTTTTCGCAGAACCTTCTCGTTGAATCCTAATTTGTTCGAATAAATTTTCGCAAATTCCTTTATACCAAATCCCCAGCCATCGATTGCACTAGTAAAGAGAACATTTCCTTGTTCTGGAGAAAAATATAAATTTGAATCGTCTATTTCTTCTAGCACCGACTGCCAATCAGCTAAATCTCTTTCGTTTATCTTGTTTGATGCAATTGTAACTATTTCCTCTTTTTCTTCACGTTCCATAACATCGCTCGCAAACAATTCACCCATAATGGCATTTACTTGCTCTAAAACTTGCGTCAAACGAATATAGGCATCTAATGGCGTCAATTTCATTTCTGTGATTAGTCTGTCAATTTTATTAAGTACTAAAATAGGCTTCAAACCCTCGACATAGGATATAGATAAGGCGCTACGTGTCTGAGGGCATACACCTTCTACTACATCCACCACGATAAAAGCTCCATCGGAGAGACGAACTGCTGTTGAAACTTCAGAAGAGAAATCTACGTGTCCAGGAGAGTCGATTAGATTTATTACATGATCCGTATCATTGTGTACGTGGCACAGCGTTATAGAGCTGGACTTCATTGTAATTCCACGCATCTGTTCATCCGGTCTACTGTCCAAGTATCGCAGCTTGCCAGCCAATTTGTAGGAGATAATGCCATTGCTCGCAACAAGAGAATCTGCCAGGGTTGTTTTTCCATGATCCACATGTGCTAGTATACATATATTTCTGATACGTGTAGCGTCACTCTGAATTTCGTTCAGCTTCTCAACACTGATAAGGCGCATCGTTAAGCTAGATAGAAGAGAAAATGTGAAATGTTGAGCAGTGTATATACAAATATGTATATATATATATATATATATATGCTTTTATATTATATGCAGGTGCTTCAATAGCAGCAGATTATAGTGATAACAATGAACAGTGAGCGAGTGTCGCACACGTACAATATAAATACAATAAACTATATTTATATAAAAAATAAGTTAATCGAACCCCGATGCCGCACGCACATTCACGTATGCAGTTGCAGTAAACACTATTTCACTTTATTCTGTCTCCAACAAAGTGCGTAAGGTTTGTTGAACGCGAGGATATATCGCAGGTTGAATGGCCTCGCTCTCGTCGTGAACCGAAACATGCCAGCGGACATCGGTTATCGGGCGCGGTGGAACACACACGGGGCACGACGTGCGTACGAGCACGTGCGGGATCTCTTTTTCTCGTTGACGTGCGAGCGCGAAAGCAGCAGCTCGAGCGGCGGCTCTCCAGCGCTGGGAAAAACGTGCCTGGTCTCTCTCGGCGAGAGAGGTTAGATGCGCGTCAACGTGACTTCGCCCCTCGGATCTTTCTCCGCCTCGTTTTCGCGCGTCTCCTCGGACGACCGACTCTCCCCGAGATAATATCCGCTCGCGATCACAACACGATCCGCGTCTCCGTTCGGAAAACACTTTTTATACCGCTCGTACCTCACGCGAATCTTTTCATAAGTGGTTATCCGCTGAATATGCGTGGGCGGGCACGGCCATATTGCTTTAGAGGGCGCGCGCAAGTGCAGAGAAATTGTGAGATTTTTAAATATGATTTTATATAAAAATTTAAATTTAAAAATAATTAAAATTAAAATTACAAATTTTTTTTTTTATTTTCTTTTTATATAATATTTTGTTTAAAATATACGTGTCATTGTATTTAAATATGTTAATGTTATATTCAATTTAATATTATTAAATTAATAATATTAATAATTATATAATCCTGCCAGCATTGGTATGTGCCCGCGGGTAGAACATAAAACTCATAATTACATCATTATAACGTCAATTAAAAGTCATTTTAAACAAATCATAATAATCTCATTTGATACATTTGTAGTTATGTTTTGGTGATTTATTTATATCATATTGACTTTAATATAAAAAGAAGAATATTATATATGTAAAACTGATTAATATACGAAATTTATTTGCATTACACATATTAGAAATTATACATATTATTAAATAACTTATACATATTATACATATTATTAAATTATAATTATTAAATTATACATATATTATTAAATAACTTTTTTGAAAATTATATAATGCGATTATTGGGGGAGACTTAAAATCTATGATTCTTTTTCATAATAATCTTTAAATAATTTTTAATTATTTTTGTTTGAGTAATTTTTAACCCTAATAGCACAACAAATCCGAAAGATATATTCAGAGGATATCCAGAATATATTCGCGCGCGCGAACAGCCTCAGGATATTCTCTGAACGTCTTCGGGATATGTGTGCTGTTAGGGAAGTGATGAATAAAATCATGACGACGTTATTATGACGTCATTATGAGTTTTGTTACGTTGCAACAACGTCTCAACTGGTGTTTGAAAAGTATAATTGCCACGTACCACGTTACACTTTCACGTGACTAATAGCCAAATTCTTAGATAGAAAGTTGTAGTGACGTGTACTTGCGATTTTAGGTGACGTGTTGGGCACCTGATAATTCACGACTTGAAAATGACTCGATCAATTTTGAGATTAGTTTTTACTATTTTAAGATTAGTTTTTACTATTATGTATGTAAACTATATATTTTTTTATATATAAAAATGTAGATATTTGAGAATCGCCAGACAGAATTTAAAAAAAAAAGGTAAGACTCTTCTCTCGACCGTACTGGCAAATATTATTTAGCAAATATTATTAGTAATTTAATAAATAATATTTGCCATGCGGTCGAGAGAAGAGTCTTACCTTTTTTTTATATATATTAAATAAAAAATATCTGATTATATATATATTATTATTTGTGACCGAAAATATAAAATATATCTGTTTAAATTACCTGGTTCTAAAATATCTGATGTAGTCGGATGATATCGGATGAGGTTGCGTGAAAAAAGAACGAGTTCTCACGTGGATATAATTAATATATATAACAGACGGCTACTTCTTCTTCTTTATATTAAATATATATATACTCTATACTCAGGATCGACGTGCGGAATGTCAACGTTAATAATGCGAGAATGTCGTATGTATATTAATTGCTTATTGCTTATTTTATAATTCGTTTCTTCTGCATATAATTCTTCGACGGTGTTCGGAGAGAGAATGAGACTCTATTTCTTTTAAGCACAACGGGGGGTTGGAATTTCTACGCGTTTCTACGTGTTTCTACGTGTTTCCGGAATATGCCCCACTCCGATACGACGGGCCGATTACAGCCATTTTAAGATTAGTTTTTACTATTATGTATGTAAACTATATATTTTTTTATAAATAAAAACGTAGATATTTGAGAATCGCCAGACAGAATTTAAAAAAAAAAAAGGTAAGACTCTTCTCTCGACCGTACTGGCAAATATTATTAGTGATTTAATAAATAATATTTGCCATGCGGTCGAGAGAAGAGTCTTACTTTTATATATATATATATATATATATTAAATAAAAAATACCTGATTATATATATATTATTATTTGTGACCGAAAATATAAAATATATCTGTTTAAATTACCTGGTTCTAAAATATCTGATGTAGTCGGATGAGGTTGCGTGAAAAGAGGGCGAATTCTCACGTAGATATGTTTAATATATATAACAGACGGCTGCTTCTTCTTCTTTATATTAAATATATATACTCTATACTCAGGATCGAAGTGCGAAATGTCCACGTTAATAATGCGAGAATGTCGTACGTATATTAATTGCTTATTGCTTATTTTATAATTCGCTTCTTCTGCATATAATTCTTCGACGGTGTTCGGAGAGAGAATGAGACCCTGTTTCTTCTAACAATAAGCACAACGGGGGTGTTGGAATTTTTACGTGTTTCTACGTGTTTCCGGAATATGCCCCACTCCGACACGACGGACCAATTACAGTCATTTTGATAATTCGGAATAGAGGTGGTTATAGATGCACTAATTTATATTATTATGTAGTGCAGAAATAGAAAAAAATTTCTTCGCTTCTCCTACGAAGGAGCTCTCGATTATCACGGACGCAAAAATAAATAATATTTAATATAACAGAGACGATATATATAAAAATAAAGTTGAACAACAAAACATAGTTCTGGTTAACATACATATAATGAAAAAAATACCCTAACAGCAGAAATGTTTAAATTATCCCAATAAAAAATTGCAAAAATAAAATTGGAACATCTAATAAAATATAAATGCATATTTGTGCACAGGCTTTTAATTAAAATAATTAAGGTTTTCTTGCCTCCGTATATAAGAAAAAATACATAATAATAATTATAAAAGGATGTAAATTAACAACAGGGTTGGGAAAGTTACTTTGTAAAAGTAACTAGTTACAGTTACAGTTATTTCATTGAAAAAGTAACTAGTTACAGTTACAAGTTACCGATTTTAAAAAATAACTCGTTACAGTTACAGTTACTCTAAAAGTAACGAGTCGTTACTTTTCAGTTACTTTTTAAAAATAATTATACATTGTTTTAAATATAAGGAGCTTACATTTTATGCACAATTACAGTCAAGTATTTAAAAAAATTCTTGAATGTAATATTGATCGATTTGCTTGCGACTTTGCAATTAACATCAATGTATGAATGACCTTTATATACAACAGTAAAAATAGTTATAGTAAGTTACTAAATGGTAATCGCAAAGTCGCAAGCAAATCGATCAATTATTACCTTTAAGAATTTTTTTAAATATTTGACTGTGATTGGTCGATCTTAATTATGTGTTATATTATTTTATGTACACAAAATGAAAATTTTAGGTAAAAGATTAAATTATATGAAGATCCATATGCTATTGTTATCAAAATTTAATTTAATAATATAACGGCTACCATACTTAAACAATACTTTTAGCGCATGTTTCCAAAAAAAGTAACTAATAAAGTAACTATTAAAATAGTTACTAGTTACTAAAAAAATGTAACTAAGTTACAGTTACAGTTACAGATGGAGAAAAGTAACGAAGTTAAGTTATAGTTACCGAAAAAAAGTAATTGTAGCTGTAACTTCGTTACAAGTAACTCGTTACTTCCCAACCCTGATTAACAATATAGCAATAAAACTTACTACTCTAACAGCAGAAATGTTTGAAAGATATTCAGAGAATATCTCTAGAATATTGCAACATTCTATGGATATTTATCTTTCGACTGTCTTAAAATCACATCTCATTTAATCACCCCATTTGCATATGTACACAGATTATCAAGCACTTCAAAATCAAGTTCCAAGTTCAACAGCGCAAATTTCATAACAAATATTAAAGGCAGCATTATATTAATGTAGCTCATTATAAATACACACAGTAATAGCGATTTGATTTGAATTTAAATAATTTCGAGTTATCTCAAAAAAATCTATGGCATCTATGTCGTAATTATTTTACATATTTTTTTAATGTAAAAAACATTTCACGAATGAAACTTCGAGACTTTTTATATACAAATACAAATAAATTTTTAACTATTTATATACAAATATATATAAATTTTTAACTATTTTTACTTGAATTAGCCCTTGTCTCAATATGTATGAAATTTTAGATATATGCATATATTTATTTCTCATATTGTGTCTTTTCTCATGTTTCTCATAATATTATAAAAAATAATATAAATGAAATAATTGTAATATTATATATTATGTAATATTATTTATATATATACATAATATGTCCATAATTTGTGTAATAAATATATACATATATAGTTTTGTGCATCTTATATATATATTATATATATGTAATAAATAAATCTCAATTATAATTATTTTATTTTTACAATCACTGTAATATGTACATATATGTAATATACAAAATTGATTAAGTGTTTATTCTTTCAAAAGTACAGTGACAAATTCAACATTAGGATAAAATTATCCTTTATTAGCCTTATTATATATAAAAATGGTACATATTTTTCATTTAAAAAATTTGCCTATATATATATATATATATATATATATATATTATTTATAACAAATTTATAATAATTTTAAAAGAAGAATCAATTTGTGTTGCAATGCCTGCATAATATAATTTTTTTACTTTACTTTATTCTTTCATTTCAATTTCTCTCATTATAATGAGAAATAACAAAGCAGATGTTTTCAAAAAATAATTTAAATATAAAAAAAGAGTTTGAATATAACTTAATTAACAAAAATAACAAAAAGAAACAATCGAATACAGCTCGACAACAATAAACAAAGTAATGCGCTGTATTGTATCATCAACTGCTCTTAGTAAGAATATCTTCTTGCACGTCTTCTTGGCTCTTCGGCTTCTTTTTTCGAAGAGATCGTCCCCTTATATTGAGCATCGTTTTCGTAACCAACCACACTGCGCCAGTTTCGCTCAGGAAGCGTAACGAGTTAATTACTCCGATAATTAGAGAATGCGGTGGGTATCCGGTAGTATGCGATTCAATGCCAACAGTTTTTAGCGATGCCTCTACGAACTTCTCCGGCGTAGGCGCCATCCAAGTTGATCTCCTTGAAGAAGAAGAAATTAAATTTGAAAAAAGATATTAAAAAATTTGATTCTCTCGATCTCCTTTAAATCTAAAATTCTCACTACGAATCGTTACGAGGATAATTATTTTACTTTATTTTCGACATCTTCGTGGCTACCGGGCCCGGAAGAACGCACTGGACGGTGACGCCTCTCGGTGCTGCTTCCGCAGCCAAATCGGCGCTCAATTTATCGATATACGCTTTGCTGGCGGCGTAGACGGCCAGGTAGGGACTCGGTATGGCCGCAGTCGCCGAACTGATATTGATTAGAACTCCTTTCCGTCGTTCCATCATACCGGGAAGTATCGCTCGAGCAACCCCGGTGATGCCGGCGACATTTAGTTGTAATATTTTTGCAAGCGTTTCCTCGGACACGTGCGTGAATAGCTCGGGATGATCGTAGCTCGCTCCAGCATTATTTACGAGAACACCCACCTAGAAAAATATTTTCTCTGATTAGTCTCCTTCACGTCATCTTTTTATAAAAAGAAAGAAATTCTTTTTATATTTCTTTACCTATTACATCTACAATATTCTGTTAAGCATATTCTTCTTGAGGTTCGTGCAAAATATTTGTAGTAAAAATATATTATATTATATTATATTATATATTATTATGTTATATTATATTATATATAATATATTAATATATTATATTATAAAATATATAATATATTATATAATATGTATAAAACATATATGTAATATTTTGTAAAATATAATATTAAATATTATATTACCTCCAAATCCTGCGTCGCTTTGCCAATATCTGCATAGACCACCTGACCCTCTGTCAAATCAGCCTCTATTACGCGGGTTTCCACTCGATATTCCTGCTCGATCTCAGCGGCTACGTCTTTCAGCTTCGACATAGATCGCGAGATCAAAACGATGTCTAATCCTTGTTTGGCGAACGCTTTGGCAAACGCTTTTCCGAGTCCGTCCGTGGCTCCGGTCACGACAGCCCATCGTCCTTGAGTTCTAATGTCAATTGCAAGACCGAGACTCGGGGCAATTAACTTCTTCCAGACCAGAATCCCGGCTTTTACAAGAAGCCTCAAACTGAGGAATGCTATTATCACGACCAAAATCTTCTCCCACAAGAATAATGCCATTCTACAATATAAGCAACAATAGAATCAATTAATCGATTTTATATTTATTTGTTCATAATTTAATCAAACGGAATAATTAGTTACATTTTTTAATAATCAAAATATAATATATGATCTCTAGAATATAGATGTAATGTTTTTATATACACGATAGCTCGATCAAATGGACATTTTTATGAATGTTGAATTGAAAAACGTCAGATTTGATTAATGAAATATAATAAAATAAAGTTTCAAAGAAGCACCAGTCGTTACGAGTGCTATTTGTCGACTAACTTGCCAATCATTGTCGGCTCGGTTTCTGAAAGTCGTGACCCGGCATCGCATTATCAATCGGCCGATATACAATTCGTTATCCTATTGACGCATTTGATGTACTACCTTATCATTACTTTTTACACTTATAATATATGCGAATAGTTACATGAATTTTGTTAACAAATTATCATTTTTTATGAATATATGGTTGTATAGCTATATATTTTTATTTATATATGCGCATTTATGTTATAATTTGTATATACGCCGTGTTGGATGTTTATAAAAGAGAAATTGATTTAATAAGAAAATATTATTTTATATCAATACTAGAATGTGTGTTTTAAAAAGAGCTATTCAATAAAATTGCAAAACCGAATACAATTAACATCTTTTGAATAGAAAATGATTTCTTTTTTTAGAAGCAAATTATTGTAGCCGTCAGCTTCAAGATAAACAATGATAATTGAGACTGTACATCGAATAATAGATAATATGATGCCAGGTCACATTGAGAAACCGAACGGACAATGATTAGCAAGTTAATCGACAAATTGATTAATTATTTATGAAATATTTGATTAAATTGATAACGATGAATTATTGTTTTAATAAATCTTATTTTTATGATTAGATTTTGATACTTATTATATAATATTTCTGAAATATTTTTGATAAACGCAATTATATCATATTTTATAATTTAATAAGAAAAGATATATATACATATACATATATATATATATATATATATATATATATATATATATATATATAATCTAAATAAGTATCAAAATCTAATAATAAAAATAAGATTGATATTTATACATATTTATATAGAAATACATTTTTTATTATTTTTTTGTAAGTTTGCGTTCAGAAATTACATTGGCAAAGATGCAGCATTCCTTTTTATTATTCACTATTTTTTTAAGACATACGCTGTTTATTGAAGCTTTAATAGAAGATGACTATTATTCAAATATCATAGTGGAAAATATAGAATTGACTTCATGCAGTGTAATATTATCATACAATGTAATGATTATCATGCAATATTATAATTTATTCTAATTTTATTACAGAAAATAAAGCTCAAAAGTTAAAAATTCTTATTAAACTTAAAATATATTATAGTAAATAAATTTAACAGATACTTCGAATCAACTATAGAGAAGTCAATAAATACCACATTATTTGTGGATTAAACTTATTTATTTATTAAAATTAAAAAAGCGCGCAACAATACAAAAAAATAAAATATTATTTTATATCAATACTAGAATGTTTTAAAAAAAGCTATCACGTACTCACGACTTATAAATCTAATCTTTTGAATTATATATCTATATATGTATAGAGATATATTTTATATATCTATATATTATAGAGACATTATATCTATACATAAACTATAATATTTATTCTACACGATAATCTAAATTCTACGCGAATAAATATTAACAAAATTATTATTATCAGATATGTTTTTTAATTTAACTGTGATAAAAAAATTAATTGAATGTAATTAATCAAGCGGACGATTGCTTGACAATTGTGGTAAAAAATTCCATTGTGGTAAAATTTCTTCGCGATACAGCTTTCTCCGACAGTATATATATACATATACACTCCAATGCGCAAAACGATAGCTTCGCGATACTTTCTCACTTTCTCATCTGTACCTTACCTGGCAATTGAGTCTTTCAATTCCGCGATCGTCCTTCACGAATGACAACTTCCCTCACCGAAGGGTTGTTGAGAGAGATTTCTTCTCTCAACCCTTCACCGAATTGAAAATCGACGTGCGATATCTCGCAGGGCAGAAGCGCGACTAGGCGACTCGAAGGACAAGGTCGCGAGAAGAGAGTGCAATGAAAGCGGACAAAGGTCGGACGGGAGGTAACGTGAAAAAGTGAAATCGCAGAAGCGGGTCCGGTGAGTCGTGCGCCGATTGATACCCCGATGACCGTCGACGCGGCACTGCACCGCTGTTCCTCGCGATCGATATTAACGTCGGGCACGCCGGGATATCAACAGCGCGCGCAATGTCAGGGCTGTTTTGTCCGCGATAGTATTACGGCCCCCTCTCCAGAAGAGGAAACTCCGCACAGCACTCCTTGTCCACGTGCTTTGCGAGCAAAAGGTTCCGCGATGATGGGCAGAGCAGTGGGGAGGCCAAAGAGAGAAGACAAGTTCTTTCTTTGACACACTTACTTTGGCCCACTCGTTCTCGGCCTCCTTTGTAAATTTATATATATATATATGTGTGTATATACATAAAATCTCTTTGATCGCAGCAGTCTCGTTGATGAGGACTGTAATATATATATATTCGCGAATTTAGAGACGTGACCTTTATATAAATAGCTACGCGTGCTACTTAGGCCCGTTTCTACCAACGTCGATTAAATGAAACCTCTGGTTAAACTATATACATATGTTTGTCTTTTTTGAAAAACTTATTTGAAAAGAGACAAAGATATAGTTTAACCGGAGGTTTCATTTAATCAACGTTGGTAAATAAACAAGCTATAAAGTGGTATAGTACTCGTACTTTGTCCCTGTTAAAGTCGCTTGAAATAGCACAACAATCCGCGCTATTTACTTCCTGGTTGGTCATGAAGATGTTGTGAGAGAAGTTTCTCCAATATCTAAGAAATTAGTTATTAATACTTATATTTATATATTAATAATATATATAAGTGATATATATAAAATATATTACTATTTTTTTTATTAATTGTGGCGCGAGTTTTTAAACAATGCGCGTATTGATGTTTACAGTTTAACTCGACATGAAATTTTTATTGTTTCTTAATTTATTAATAAATACCACTTAATAAAAATTATACAAATTAAAATAAAACTTAAATAGATTCACACAATTGGAGATTAAATTAAGATTTCAGAGATAAGTATATTTTGCGATTGCAAAAAATAACGTTATATTTATATCAATTTTGCTCATTTATTTGCCTCTGATTCATTGAAAATCGACTAGTATTTTTGTACTTTGTTTAAATTTTTAACTTGTACTTATATCTTAGTTAGTTCCTGATTTTATCTGCAAATATCATTCTGGATAGGAAATATAAATTGCAACGAAATATTTATAAAAGAAAAAAATAAAATACATATCATATGGTACTATTTTAAATAGATTAATATCACACAAAATTACTAATAAACATTCATATATATCAATGCAACGTTATCTTAAATTTATTCAATTACAAACTGTATAAAAGATATACATTACGTATACATTCATATATTCTCACACATTATTTAATATTAGATATAATATTAAATAATTCTATACAAATTTCGAGATGAATGTCAGATAAATAAATATATTCTCATAAACACGTATATAAAATATGGATGTGATCAAATCGAAACTTTGATGGGAAATGTTATCTTAGGACATTCTTATTTTATACATTTCATACGCAACACTATAGGAAGACAATCAAAAGGAAAACATAATACCCGATATGTTTATTTATTTTTTTATCGTATTATCCGATTTAGTTTTAAGACTACCATATAATAGAATTATATGGCATATGTGCAACGCTGTGCTACTGAATATCGTACTTGGATATACGTTCCAACACAATTCAATCACACCCAGGACAGTCAATCGAACAACAGTCTTATACTCAGTACACCACGCAAGGTATGGTAATGTATGATAGTACCATACATAGAATTGATAATGCAGCGATCTGCTGAACATAATGCCGATAAAGTTCGACATAAAGAGAGGATAGACAAACAATTGGCTCACGACACACATATAATCTATCTTCTCAGGAACCTGAGACTTTAAGTTTTTCTCTACATCTTTCAATTTTGCATATGATTCCATGTACACGATCCAAATGCGCAGGCAGTACAGCAACGTTAACACATGTAGAAATAATAAGAAATGATGAAAGTACGGATGAACAAATACCTCTTCCGGCAGAAACCTCCAGTTTACGGTCCACTTAAACTCAAAGATCCTCCCCAAATTAAAGGCACTCTTTATATATGCGATTGGATTCTCCAGTAGAAATGGAAGCCCAAGAATCAACTGTACAGATGCACAGATACTTAAATGTATCAGTGTTTTACATAATCCTAGGATGCACAGATAGGCGACAAGAAGCGCTGGGGCAAACAGCAGTATATTCATCTTGACAGACACGGCGAGGCTGTACAATACGCTACCCAGGTACCAGCGATCGTCCAGGAAGGCGTTGACGCTCGCAAATAGCAGTAGCATCGCTATAGGATCGTTGAAGAGCCTCAGGACAAATATCGAGTGTATCCTATAAGAGGTGCAGCACATGAGAATCAGCACGTAGGGCGGTACTTTCCTAGTCCTGGCGTAAATCTTCAGGACGAGCGTCAACATGATCGCGTAAACGACCACGTAGATGTACTGGGCTGTCTTTAGATCGGTGCCCCGCGAGGTCACGTAATAGAGCCCGGAGAAGATGTAGACGAAACCGGCAGGATAAACCAAGGGTCCGGTGTCACCTCGCAACTTGGAGTAATCCGTGGTGCCGTTCAGGAATCCCTCGACCTCCTGCATGTAGGCACGCCAATCGATCTCGGTGTATGGCACATTTGCGACAACCAATATGTTCAAAACTATCTCGACGAGGATGAAGAACTTGATTAGCAGCGACAGTCTCTTCGGATCGGTCAGCAAGGAAACGATCTGCTGCCATAATTGCAAACAATATTCTATCCAACTTCTGTTACCTCTCTTCGAAGATTTCTCGGGATTGGGGTTAGATCTCGCCTCTCTGCCTCTCTTGCTTACCGCCATATTGTCTGAAACTAGAGAATCATCTGAGAGAGTTGTCAACTGTTACTTCTCCGATCACGTGACATACCAGAACGCGTGCGCCGAGCAAATGACAGATCGTTCTTTCTTTTTTTATTTTTCTCTCATCTCTAATCTTTTTATCAAAATTATATGATTAATATTAATAATATTAATTAATATAATTGATATAGCTATAAATTATATAAATTATATTATATTAAGTTACATTTTAATAAAAATTATATATAATTATAATTATATACATAATTATATATATATATATATATAATTATTATATATTTAATATTAAATTATATATATTAAATTATTATTATAAATTATTATATATATAATTTTTTCGCAAAAGTTAAAAATATATTATTAAAATTAATTCTATAGTTGTTGAATAGTTTTCGATTAACCAATCAGAATAAAGGAATCTTCGCTTTCGATTGGTCGAATCGAACGTCATTTTTCGGCGATTAGATTTTCGAATGCAAGCCAGTATAGGTACAGCTCAGTGTTTATGAGTCATCGCGACGTCACGACCAATCAACGTGCGCCAGCTGGGAGTCCGGGTTTTTGACAGAAGCCAACGTGTATAAAGTCGTGCGCGGAATAAACGGCAGTTGTAATTCACGGAGATTTCGTTAAAAAATCAAACGCATGAATTAAAGTGGTTGCTGCTCGCTGATTTATCGAACGACGAAGACTTTGTATCGACGATACGTTGATTATTACATCGATCGTAACGGTATGTAATGATGCTTATTCCGCGAATAACCTAATGTACGATCCCGCGATAATTTGAGAATTTCATTTTTTCTACAATATTTTATCATTTCCTCGCTTGTGCACGCTATTGTTTTATCGATAATTATCGCATACTAATAATATCTCATATAAAACTCTTGTGAGTTAAAATAAGTTTCTAATGAACGAATAAAAGACGTCGAGATAATATTTGATAAATAGCTAATAAAAATGTGCAATATTTTAAAGAATGCTCTGACTGATATCGTGTCCTTTTTTTTTGCAATACATTTTATTGGAGTGTTTATTTATATAGACATCATTTTACATATATCAATTAATAGAACAGTATATTAAAATTGTAAATATCTATTTTTTGCAAATGTATGTAATTATGATGTAATTATGATTATTTTTAGTTGATAATATTATATCTTTAACAGAAAACGTGAAACGAAAGAGAAATGAACGCTTCAGTATCACTAATATTTTCCATTTTTCTTGGAATTGTGTGTGCTATTACAGCATTGAAAGAAGGTGATTGCGAAGGTAAGTATTTCTTGGTCTTTGTATTTAAATTTATATAAACTTTTTTGTAGTTTTCCTTATGTCTATGCTATTTTATAGTGTGTGTCGCTGTTGTGGATAAATTTAGTCACACATTAACAGCAGACATTAAAAGTGATACTAAGCAGATTGAAGCAAAGTTTCGAGAATTCTGTAAAAACACCAAATCAAAAGAAAATAGATTTGTAAGTAAAATAACATCTTTACAGATGAAATTAAAGCAATTATTATATTACTTCTGTTGACTCATTCAAATTCAAATTATGTCCATTATGTTTCCCCAGTGTTATTATTTGGGTGGATTGGAAGAATCTGCCACTGGTATTTTAAGTGAGCTAAGTAAACCATTATCATGGTCTATGCCTGCAAACAAGATATGCGAGAAGCTGAAGAAGAAAGATGCTCAAATATGCGATCTGAGATTTGGTATGTATAATTTTCACAAACTCTGTTGTAATTTTTATCACAAATGCAAGATGCATTCGTGTAATGTTGATATTTTTATTATAGTAATATTGATATTTTTATTATAGAGAAACAAATTGATCTCAACACGGTGGACCTGAAAAAGCTCAAAGTGCGCGATTTGAAAAAGATTCTGAATGACTGGGAAGAGGTGTGTGATGGTTGTATAGAAAAGACAGACTTTATTAAACGAATCGAGGAGCTCAAACCTAAATACTCCAACAGTAACTCAAAGACGGAGCTCTGAAGTATTATGGTCTTCGATTTAGACAAGCAATTAAGTTAGTATGGCTAAATATTGTCTTTTTAATTTGCAGAGGAATTGTTTACAGCATTTAGAATATGTATTTATTTATGTAGCCATATGTCTATATATGTCTACATAATACACAATTTGTATAGCCTTATTCTGTCGAAATTATCTTTGACTGTCAAAATGACTGTCTTTTATGCTAAGATATTTAAGTTCTATTAAATAATATAGAAGATAAATTATCTTAAAACAAAAATTAGGATGAAGCAAACAATAATGAACAATGAAACTTTTGTCAAACAGTATGTTTATATCTTACAATAATTTCGAGAGACATATTGTTATAGTAATCTGATTTCTCTCTCTCTGATGTAGCCATGCTAAGAATGTACCTATTTTGCTGAAGGTGCTTTATTTATATGACATCAATTCGTTAGGTATATACAACATTTATACAAAAAAAAATTATTTTCACATATATTTATCTTTATTGTTCTTCCTCAAATAGTAATATGCAGATATGTTTGTACAATATGTCCAAATGATATTTATACGAAACGTAATTTATGTCAAATTTATGTATAAGAGATATTTTGTCCAACAGCTACATGTTATTATATTCTTGTTCTTTTATTATTGAAGCGTGAAACACGAACAAAATGTACAATGAACTCGTGTAATATCTGTCGTGGCCAGTATTGATCAACTATTGTACACAAATATGCGAGTTCCAACCAATGCCAATTTTTGAGATGAGAATTATTTGTATCGATATACACCAACTTTTACAATTAAACATGATAAAAATATAAATGTATTCTCGAGAGAGGAGTACGATATATTGAAATTAACCATACGAGAAAATTGTGCATAAATAATATTTAGATAAGGTATTACCGCATATCTGTACGTACTATTCTGGAAATTCAAACTCAGTTATTTATTTCGTGATAAGACTGCGTGATTACGTTTTCTATATCACATTCGTGAATCTTGATACAAGAAGTCAGAAAGAAATAAAAACATGTGTGTTGTTATTAAAAGCGAAATGTTCTTTTACTGAACCGAACAAAACAAACGTCTTAAGATATCATTTTATGAGAATGTGCTTTAATTTCCGTTACATTTCGGCGATTCGTTCCATCTTCCATCGGCTTGACAAGTTATTACTCCCCGTTTTTTATCATTAGGACACACGTATGTCAATTGATCTTGAAATAGATACGAACGTCCATGCAGCATGACTCCATTCTGGATCTGCGGTTTGCCACATGATATTTCTGCAAGTAGATATAAATAGATTTTTTGAAATTGACTTTGCTGATAGATAAATTTAAAACTACTTTAAAATTATTTATACACTCACTCGAACATTTGCCATTTATTCTGGACCACTTTCCGCTTCCCAAACATCTCAAAGTCGTCTGCCCGAATGTACGATAGCCCGGGACGCACTGATAAGAAATCATGTTACCAAAAGTAAAATTCTGAGTCCTCTCGCTAATATCTCGCTTGAGTATCGCATTGGCTAAGATTGGCGGCTCTCCGCATGCTACAGCTACAAATGTTAATATATAATTAATATATTATTCATTTATAATGAATATAATGAATATATTAATTTAATATATGTATAAGGATTTAGAGATATTTTCAACGTTAAGAGAAAATATATTGCTTAACATACGTTTGCAAGAGGGTAAAGAGGACCACGTGGCGTTCGATAAACAAACAGATCGTTCGTCACCTTCGAGAATATAACCATGACGGCATTTGAACATGAGGATATTGTTGATCGCCATCCGATCTTTGATATCATCTGTATTATTAATATTATCTATATATCCATATTTTGGTATCTAAAAAGAAATATTGATTAGAATTAATATAATTTAGAATTAAAAATTTAGAATTATTCGAGACTTTTATACGCAATATTTTATTTTATATTTTAATCTAAATCTCTTGAATCTTATTATACACAGAATTTTCTCTTAAAATTTATCCTGAAAATTATGGTAGGAATCGTAGGACAATATTTGGAAGAATTTTATGAGTTTTCCTCTCTCTCTCTCTAATTAATATTTACCACAATAAAAAATATTAATATATCTACCACAATAAAATATAAAATATGTTCGATTAATTTTTATGTACATATAGTATTAATATTTTTTTATTGTGGTATAAATATTAATCAGATAAACTCATCTTATAAAATTCTTCCAATACCATATTGTCCCACGATTACCATGATTTTCATGGTAAATTCTAAGAAAAAAAATTTTCCGTGTATATTTTTAATATTTTATAACTAATCATAATGTTTCGAGAAATTTGTGCTCAAAAGAGAAATTACCTCCGGGGGTGCACACGATTTGTCGCAGACATACGTTGAGTCGTTAAAGAGCTGTTCGAGTTCAGCTTCGTTCAGCGATAAATTTGAAACCGTCCACCTTCCGATTTTGTTGCACGTCCACGTGATATTCGAGACCGTCTCATTGCTAATCAGCTTATCCAGGTTCATCAGCGTGTCATTTCGACACGCTAAGATTATATGTTGCCCGTAAGCCCTTCCCTCGACGAAAACGTCAAACTGTTTATACGTGCTCGTGACATTGTCGTGCCATTTTTTGTTATCGAACTCGAGCGACGTCACGTCGTTCTCGTTCTCCAATTTTTTGAAAATCTGAAAAATTGGGTGGTCCCTCACGGAACAGTTGCGTAAAGCGCAGGTCGTAGTCGAAGACCAAGTTTCGTTGATGCACCTTTTCATATCATCCCCGATCATTTCGTATCCCGGATCACAGACGACGACGATTTCCGCGCCGGAAACGAATATTCCCGGCGAGATTTCTTCCGCCATTTCATCCTCGTCTCTTGAACGATCAACGATCAAAGATTCGAACGTCGCGTCTTCCTCCACGGGAATCTCGATCGTGAGATTGTCTCCTTTCCTGAGGAAGAGTCTCGCGTTTTCCACGCGATCCGGCCAAGGACATACGCGGGGAACGCAATCGGGAACGAAACCGATCCAACTGCCGTTGATGGAACATCGCAGCTTGAATCCCGTCAGCTCCAGACCGCGATTTCCGGGAAATTTGTAGCCGTGATGGCAAGAGAATCCAACGACATCGTCGTAATAATACGTTCTTTTGGTGAGACCGTCGATCGTTTTCTCCTCGGGACCGGAAGTCCGGTTCGACGACGTGTCAGAATTCGCGAAGACGACGTAGCCGTGCTTTATTCTACGTGTTCGGGGAACGTTAAGCAGTTTTAAGATGTTCCGTTAAGCAAACATTTTTTTTTATCATGCACGATATTTTTCTTTAAAATTTTTATTATTTTTTTTTAATTTTTAAAAAAGGACGAATCGCACAATAAAAAAAATAAAAAAAAAAAAAAAAACATATATGTTTGAAACGCACTTTTTCGGCGGAGCACATCCGTAAAGTATACAGGACGGTCTCTCGTAATCCCAAACTCCGGTCTCCAAACAAGTTAGGTATCTCTCGCCTATTAAACGGTATCCGGGATTGCATTTGAATTCCAATTGTTGACCGGCCTGAAATAAAATTAAACATGAATAAATCACGGCACAGCTCTTTCGCAAAGTATAAAGTGTGCACACCTGTAATATCGTAATATCATCTCTTTCATTCTCTTCCAATATGTATTCTATATCTCCATTTTCCGGGGCTAGCAAATTTTTGCACGTCATTCCTATCGAGCAGAGTAAAAAATGTTGACAATTAATGTTCGAAATAAAATATATAATAATTAGTATATATTATATAAGCTTTAAAAATAAAAAAAATTTGGTGAAAAAAGAATAGATATATTAATCACGTTTGAAGTAATTGATTCTCTCTTGTATCGAAAATATCAGGAATTTTATTTCAACGAAAAAATAAAAATCTTCTAAATAGCTCCTAATTTTAAGATATTTTAATTTTTTTTATTTTGCCATGGGGAAAACAACTGAATAAGGATATTATAATGTATGTTTAACAAAGATATATTTTATTTCGAACAATCAGGACATTACCTAGACAGATCGGAGGTAACCCGGTCCACTTTCCATCGGAATTGCAAATTCTATGAGGATTCCCACGAAGTTCGTAGCCAGAATCGCAAGAATAGTGTATCTCGTCCCCGAATAAATACGATCTGCCCTGAATGTTTCCTCGTGGAAAGTATCCGGGAAAGCCGCATCTTATTTCTTGAACGTGAATGAGAAGCTTCAATTTTTTCACACGATCGAATTGTCATCAATTATAATTGTCATTCAGGGTGTCTAGTGGTCAGGGAATTTTATAAATCTCGAATTGTTAGGGAAAAGTCAGGAAATTTTACTATTTATCTGGATTTTTCACATTATTCTACATTTTTCTCAATAATTGAAATTTTTTATTAAATAAATATAAATTTTTCCTTGACTGCCAGCACGCTAATTTTCTGTGTTGTTAAAAATTGATTCATTTACAGCGCGTTCGTTAATTTATATTTTCATCGTCGTGTTATTTTATTTCAATGTGTTTGATAGAGACAAAACTAAAAAATTTGATATAATATAAATAAAAAAGGTGATTATTTAAGTAGTTTTTATAGTGACATGTTTGTTTCGATTATCGTACATAATGCAGATTGTATAATTGATTTAAATTTTTGTTTTAACTTTCAAACCTTTTCATTGTAGACAAAAATATCTCAAGGATTTCATGATTTAACATTTAATTGATTTATCATATAGATATATGCAAATAATATATTTGGAAAAAATAATATTAAAAAATCAGGAAAAAAATTAATTTCTGGTTTTGAAAAATCTTAAAAAGTCAGGGAATTTTTTCATTGAGTCTGCTGGACTTCCCTGTCATTAAATTAATGTAATAATTCATCCTCTTCATTTAGACTTACTTGTACAAATTGGCGTGTCGTGTCCCTCCCACTGACTGTGTTTGAGACATTTTCTACTGAAGGACCGACGTTCCTCGCCATCGAACCGAATCACGTATCCGCTGTCGCAATAATACGTTACCTCCGAGAGGTCCTCGCTTACGTTAATGTTACCTTTAAACGGTGCTATGGGTAAGGGACATCCGCGACAAAATGGGCTTGCTAAGATCTGAAGGGTAGTATTATGATGAGATCATCGCTTATTACGGTCTATCTTCTATGCTAAGATTGATGATTTTTACACAGAGCTTATAACTTGCTTGTACACAGAGAGAATTTTCTCTTAGGATTTATCCTGAAAATCATGAGACAACGTGTAGTATTGGAAGAATTTTATAAGAGCTTCTCTGATTAATATTTATTACAATAAAAATATTAATATCTATCACAAGGTATAAAAATATGTTCGATTAATTTTACTACGTACATAGTAAAATTTACTATGTATATATTAATATATATTTATTAATATTTTTATTTTTTATTAATATTTGCTATGTACATATTAATATTTTTTATTGTGGTAAATATTAATCAGAATTAATATTATATTATAATATGTACATAGAGAGTAAATATTAAAAAAAAATAAAAAATATTAATGTGTATATATACATGGTAAATTTTACTATGCATATAGTAAAATTAATCGAACATATTTTCATATATCTTATTGTAATAGATAATATTTTTATTGTGGTAAATATTAATTAGAAATGAACTCTTCTTCCAATACCATATTGTCCCACGATTACTACGATTTTCAGAGTAAACTCTAAGAGAGAATTCTTTCTGTGTATAATTACTTTTATGTCGCCGTGAATATATTGCTGCATGTGTGCCCAGGCTATGACGTTCCCGTGATTTTTCTCGCAACTGTTCCATAGCGTTGTAATGTTCTTCTCATCTAAAACGATATCCCACATCTCTAGCAAACTGAGTTTTCCCAAAAACGCTTCCGATTCGGAAAAACCACCTTCCAGATGATCCTGCTCCTGTCCAATGACGAGGGATCCATTGGCTAGACAGAATAATCGCAATCATATAATTCGTGTTTGTTGCTCTACACATGTTTAAGAGATGATTCTCTACAACATGATTCAATCAAATAATTAAAATAATTATGGAAAAAGTAAAATAAAATCATTCGGTAAATTTTTTAAGAAACTCAGTCTCCAAAAATTATAATATATATATAAAAAACTCTTTCTGCCGTGATATTTTTTTTCGATTCTATATGTTTCACCCTTATAAAATATATTATTTTCGTGTCGCACGCATAGTTAACATTTATTTGTATTGTTTTACCAGGCACGATGGTTCCCTGAGCTAAACGAATACCGTTGTCCTCAAGAATTCCGTCGACAAATACGCGCCATGTACCATATCCACTTTCCCAAGTAATACACAGGAAGTGCCAGTAACCATCGTTGACTTTAATATCGGTCACGACTCTTTTCCCATTAATATACAATACGAATCTGTGCAAGAACGCAGAGAGTTTGCTCGCAATCGAATAAATTGTACCAGAATATTTTAGATTATAAAAAATAGAGAAATTTTTTTACAACTATTTTTTTATATCTCTTCAATAAAATATATATACAAAGAACATATAATTACCCGTTATAATCCGTCAATGTAAAAGCATTATCGTCGAACGTCGTCGCGTACGATAACACTGTACCGTAATTAAAAGTGTCCATTGATTGTAGCCACAGACAAACAGACAACTGCAATCAATGAGTTTATAATTAATAGCTTAATAATTTTAATTTCCCATTTTTTCGATCTACCTCAGAAAGATCCTTTGGGGGTCCTTTCACAATGACGTAGTCCGTCGTGCTGGACTTTGTAAAGTGCATCGCGTAATCGGATGATAATTCTACGGTCATTAAGATATCAATTATTATATTATGATATATAATAAGAGATGTATATTATATAACACAAATTAGATGAGCCTTTTTAATGAATGAAATATTTTCGTAATATTCAAAAATGTTTGCGATATTGAAATCTCAACTTGCCAATTTCGCAGTTGCGTCCTGCGAAAAGCACCGGACAATCACAAGTGTAATTGAGTATTTGATTAATACAATTTCCATTGTTTAAGCAAGGAGAGCTCTCGCAGTAATTTATCCTGGTCGCGCAGTCCTTTCCAATGTATCCGTCAGGACATTCGCACCTAGGATCAATTGCTACATCACATATATGAATATAAAATTATCTTTTTATAATGACAGATGAACAAACATTTAGGAACACCATTTTCTGCGCCACGATCGCACATAATATATAATTACGGTGACCATATATTTTCTGAGAGAGAAAATAAAGGATAAATCTTGAAAATTTTAGGGCTTCGTTTCAACATGTTTTCAAATCAGTTCGCGACCAAAGTGGAAATCGACGAGCAAAAAAAATTCCGCGACTATCAGAAGTCTACGTTCCAGGTGGCAAACGTACGTCATTTTGACGTCAAAATCATTTGACGTTTAATGACGTCAGTTTGCTACTTGGATTATTCTTATAGCTTTAACGGTAAATAAAAAATAAAGGACAAAATTCCAATAGGTAGCAAACATTATTCGACGTCAAAATCATTTAATATTGTAATATAAAGGGCAAAATTGGGTTTTGGAAAAATGAATAAATCTAAAAATAAAATTATAATTTTGTATACTCGCGAAATTAGCAGATTAGTGTACCTATAACTCTCTCGCGTTGCGTTTTCTTTCCTGACGTTCACGCAAATCGCGTTCGCGTGACAGGGTAACCAGTCGCAGGGCAACAGATTGCAGTGGCGACCCAGGAATCCGGGTTTGCAGAAGCATCGCCAAGTTCCGTTGACGGTGCGACACGCGGATTCCTCCTCGCAGGGCGTAAGCTCGCAGTGATCCATCGGAATTTCGCAAAACTGACCTAAACGATACAACGGAACAACCGAAACGGGAAAATTGTCGTTGTCAATGTTATATTAGCGAGGACGGATGTACCTTCGAATCCGTCCTTGCACTCGCAGGCGAAATCGCTCTCGGTACTCGCGCATTTTCCGCCGTTCTGGCAAGGATTCGTGGAACATTCGTCTACATAAATCTGCAAGAGAGAAAGGGCAAATATATAAATATTTTTTTTATTTTATTTTCTTTATTCAGATCTCGTCATCTTTTATTGCATTCTCGTTTTACCTCGCAATTGGCGCCAGTGTAACTGCTTTTGCATGTGCATCCGTATGTCACGGAATTATCGGGACGTTGTTGCATCTTACACGTTCCCTCGTTTAAACACGGCGAGGAATTGCACGGATCCTTGAACTCTTTGCATTTCGATCCTGAAAAGAAATTAATTCGCGACAAAATATGTACGCATAATCATAATCTATATTTATATAACGAAATGAAGAAAGTATAAATTAAAATTTAGAGAAAGAAAGAGATGAAAATTGCTTAGCGTCTAATAATATATATTTTTGACTTATTACTTTACGATTAAACAACCATCACATCTTACCTACATAATATTCCTGACATTCGCAGACGAAATCGTCTTCGTCTTGAACGACGCATCGTCCACCGTTTAAACACGGATCCGTTCGACAATCGTCGATTTCCTTATCGTGTATCAAGCAATCGTTGATATTTACGGAACCGCGTTTTTCTGTTGTTCTGTTGAACGGACACGGTAAACATTGAGTCTGTCCATAACTTGGCTGATAGAAACCGATATCGCACACGAAACAGGGCTCTGTAGCTAATCGCGATCCGTGATAGCGTTTATGCCGGGAATAATATCCTGGTCGGCACATAGCTGTACAAAAAATGAGGATTTTCTCTTCAAATTTACCCTGAAAATCATGGTAATAATGGGACAATATGATATTGGAAGAATTTTATAAGAATTTCTTTAATTAATATTTTTACCACAATAAGATATAAAATATGTTCGATTAATTTTACTATATACATAATAAAATTTATTATATACATATTAATATTTTTTCTTGTGGTAAATATTAATTAGAGAAACTCTTATAAAATTCTTCTATATTGTCCTACGATTACCATGATTTTCAATGTAAATTCTAAAAGAAAATTCTCTTCATGTATAAAATAATATATCAGACCGATATAATATCTGACTAAAGTCTTACGAATGCAATCTTTCAACGATTTCATGTGCATCTTCTTCGTGAAAGTACGCTCCGGACATGATATGCACTTTAGAGAAGCAGTCGCATTCTGATATTGTCCAAAAGGACACGGTTGGCAAATTCTAGTTGAGATATTATAAAAAGTACCCGCGGGACATTTTACTGAAAAATATAAAAATATACCATGCGTACACAGCATATATATAGAGAAATTTTTATATAAATTAATATATTAAACAATAATAATTATTATACTAATTATTATATTAATTATTTAAAATTAATAATAATATTAATATTATAATAATAAAATTAATATTAATAATATATTAATTATTATTATCAAATTAATAATATTAGAAAAAATACACATATGTATTTACCGCAACTGTGTTTCTTCAACACACTTCCGGCATTGCAGAGATCTTGAGGTTCCTTGAATACGAGATGCAGATTTAAGGCTAACTTCGCGATTTCCTGATTAGTTCTATTGTTGAACAGATTTAATTTTCCCAAATGCTGCATCGCGTCGATCTTTTCTCTCAACTTTTGCACTCCTTGTTTAGGATTTTCAAAATTTTCTTCGATTATTCTGCCTAGAAACAATTTTGTGATATTATTTAAATAACGGATCGAGCTCGAGTAAAATTTAGCTTTTACCTATAAATTTAAATTTAATTTCTATCCTCTCTCTTCTTTGCTTAGGTCTTTCTTTGCTTTTATCTTTATTGGTGTTGGAATTCAGTTTAGTTGCACGTTTCAATCTCTCGAGCATTTTAGTATTTTTGAAAATAATCGCAGATTCATGATTGTGCGTGAATCTTCGTCTTCTTATTAAATTGTCCTCGAACCTCTTTGATGTCGAAAGATCGTCTTCGCATTCAGGATTAAAATTGATCTCAAAATTGCATTCGATATCGTTACCACAGATATCCAACATTTTCGATTTTAAACTGTCAGCAATATTATCATTCAACTAAAAGAAACAATAACGTACAAAAATTATTTCTTTATATATTTGTAAATTAATTTATTATTTTATATATTATATTATATATAGATATAAATTCTCACTTTGCGAAGAGCAGTTTTATTGTCGCACATTGAACTTTCATTGCCCTGCAATATCACTGTTCCTTCCTTAGATATCGTCTTTAATATTTGTGCTTCTATTAATAAACGAAATCATATAATTTTATATAATATCATCATTATATCATTGTAATTCAATTAGAATAATAATCAATATTTTTGATAAATATGTAGCGTAAATATACCTGAACATTCCGGTAGATAATTGTTCTCCCATGTATGATCGCTAGAATTGCATTTTAACAACAGCTCGTCATTGACAACGTTGAAATTTATTGGCTCAAGTGCAAAATCGTAGCCATTTTCGCAAGTTATAACGCATTGCATTTTGCGATCATCTGTCGAAGAACAATTTAATCGTCCATTCACGGGTGCTGTTAAATTTTTGCATATATCTGTAAGAAAAATTATATATGCTCTTTCGAGTTAAAAACAGTTGAAAAGGGAAAGGTTTTCGGAAACTATATTTTAGTTAAATAAAAAAAATTGATTAAAAAATTAACAAAATTATATCGATTAATTAATGTCAGGTAGAGTTGATAGAATTTTAATTTCAAGCTTAATTATAAAAATATAATAAAAAAAAATTAGAAACTTGCAAAAAATAATAACATTTTCGTTAAGAAAAAATCGACTTCAAATTGGTCAGACAATCTATATTATTTAAAGGACACAACACACATTCGCACAGATTCAAGACATTTTACATAATATGTGTCGAATATAGTCGTCAATTTTTTGAAATAAGAGTATACCTTCTACTGTAATATTCAATATGCAATTCGCTCGATTGCCGTACTTGTCGGTAGCATTATAGAAGACTCTCGTTCGTCCGATCGGAAAAGTACCCTCGCCAAGTTGATGACTTTGATTAACTCTCACCGAGGTCCTCGAATTATCATAGAAGACGGGCTCGTCCCACGTGACATTATCGAGACCATTATCGAGATCCGTGTAGAAAGTCGGTGGATCAATGCAATTCTCGATCGTGGGCGGTTCTCTATCTACAATCATTTTAAAATAGCTATTTCTACACGTATCTCTTATACATATATCTAGATATTTCAATTTTATAACTTCTCTCTTTCTTTCTTTTTCTCCCTTGTACATGGAGAGAATTTTCTCTTAGAATTTACCCTGAAAATTATGATAATCTTGGGACAATATGGTGGTATTGGAAGAATTTTATAAGAATTTCTCTGATTATATAAAATATTTATCACAAAAATATTAATATATACATATAGTAAAAATTAATCGAACATATTTTATATCTTATTGTGATAGATATTAATATTTTTATTGTGATAAATATTAATTAGAGAAACTCATAAAATTCTTTCAAATATTGTCCCACGATTACCATGACTTTTAGGGTAAATCCTTAAAAAAAAATTTTCTCTATGCAAATATATATATATATTTCTACAAATATAACTTACCAAGGACTCTGACCTTAAATTTACATCTGGCCTTATTGCCGCTTGCATCTTGCGCTACGTACACGACGATGTGCGTACCGATTTTCACCTTCCACGGTAAAACGACATGTGGTTTCGTCCACAAAGTAGGCGAGTCGTCCGCGTTATCCGTCACTTCGGGCACCGTCCAATTCACGTAAGCGTAATTTCGACCCATCGTGGTTTCCGCGACGATGTCGGTCGGGCACTTTAACGAGGGCGGCATCTTGTCTGCGCACAAATCGCAATTTCTTACAAAACGGCAAACATTTAAATGAATTTTAAGTATTAAAATTTAATCCTCAGGATAATTTTTAATTGCAAAAAATAGAAGACATAATTAAAAATGTCTGTTTTACGATAAAATAATGTTTAATCTTTATTTGTGTCAAGTCGACGAACCAATGCATCTATTAACGTTGTGACGTTGGGACCAGATCCCTGTACGTCCGCTACACGATCTACTGGAGGGTCCTTCCAGGACGAAACCCCTGTCACAGATGATCATGCATTTGGTAGCAAAGGATACCTTCGCTGTGCCGGTACAGATTTCCGGGATGATGCTTCCGTTCGCGATTCGCGGCAGAGGTTCGCATTCCACGGCTGCAGAAAATACAATATGACTTTCCTCAATATCATCAGTACATCTTACGTTATAATTAATGAAAAATTAATGTCGAAACATTGTGTTTTACCCTTGCAAGTGACCTTCAGACCGTCCCACCGGGACAAGGGTAGACAGTTGCGCACTTTGCTGCCGCGAAGCTGATAACCTAGGTCGCATCTGAACTGACAACGCGTGTCGATCGGATAAACGGTAGAGTTCTCCTCGAACTGATGCTGATAATTCTCATCGTGTTCGCATTTCATGCGGCCATGTACGGGTGCGCGTAGAGCTGGACAGGTTTTCACTGCAAAATCATATTTTAGTAAATAATTTTGGTGTATTACTATTTTTCAAATGGAAGATAAAGAGACTTTTGTACGCGGAGAACATTTTCTCTCAGAATTTACATTTTCTCTCAGAACATATTATTAATTTATATTAATATTTTTTATGTGGTAAATATTTAATCTTTTATAAGAGATCTCTTTTAGCAAATTCTTAATTGTACACGCATGAATATACACAGACAGAATTTTCTCTTAGAATTTACCCTGAAAATTATAGTAATCGTGGCACAATATGGTGTTGGATGAATTTTATGTGAGAGTTTATCTAATTAATATATTTACCACAATAAAAAATATTAATATATACATAATAAAATTAATCGAACATTTTTTATATCTTATTGTGATAGATAGAGAAACTCTTATAAAATTCTTCCAATATCATATTATCTCCCGATTACCATAATTTTCAGGATAAATTCTAGGAGAAAATTCTGTCTGTGTATCTTCATGTGCGATTAAGAGTTCGCTAAAAGAGATCTCTTTTATAACAGATGATTTTTTTGACAATTCTTCCCTTAACTCCTCGACGTGTCGAACTCGGCGTTAAAGTCTCCAAATCTCTCGCACTTTAAAAAATTATTTATGAAACACTTTACGCAAACATTGCGGCTCGTTGCCAGACCAAGAACCGTCTTTCCCGCAAAGTCGAATGCTGTCCCCTGTAAGGTGAAAGCCGATTCTGCATCTTACACCACATGCCGCATGCACCACGTTGCTGCAGGCGCTCGCCTTTACCAGATAGCCATTTTCGGGGACTCTTAGCTTCGAGCATGTTATAGCTGAAAAGTACATCTATTTATATTATGTGTATATATGAGATATATACACATTATACAAATATATAAAAATTGGAAGGCAATAATTTAAAAAAAAATTTCAGCAACAAAATTATATAAAAAAGTGTTATTCTATATTTTAAATTTATTTATGTTGTCTATAAATGTGAAAAGGAAAGGGAATAATTATGTGAGTGTAAGTACGTGATACAAAAATTGGTTTTGTTCTAATCTAATTTTTATATTTTTTGCTACACTGCTTTTCTGTGTAATGTTTGCGAATAATTTCACGTTATCATTTGTGTTGACAACTGCAAAAAATCTTTCTTTTTAATCGGATCTGTTTATCAATTGCAAAGACGCGAAGAGCCTTACAGCTTTCAGGATTTTTTTTTATCAAATTTATCAAATTAGACATTTCATGGATACACGTGGTCAGAATGTTCGGGATTTCGTCGCGGTGTATCGAAATTTGACTGAGGACTTGAAGAAATCACGATTGACACAGATGAAATGGTTCTCCAAATACGAACTGTTATTGAAAGAATACGAGTGTGTTTATTTAAAAAAATAATGCAAATGTCCAATATTTTATACTAATTAAATACTAATATTGAACTAAAATATTTTGAAGAAACTTACAACAAGAATTGATTAAATTGCATAAAGAGAAAATTGTTAAAATCAAGGATGATGTGGCTATTGAAAAAGAAAGAACTTGCTTGCCAATTCCAATCACAACCAGCGGCGAAGTATATTGAATTAATTGTATTACGCAAAGAATGTATACCAGAAATATTCTAAAATAATTATATATATATTTTTTATTCATTCTTTTTTATTTATTATATTATATTAATTTAATATTAAAATTCATTTTATTTTATTTATTATTTAATATATTTTCAATTTAATTAATTATATTTAAATATTATATATATTTTTTACACATATCTATATGTAATTTGTATTGTAATATCGTGCAGTACGGTTGGCTCGCATCGAAACCGGAGTTTCGTCTGGAGAAGTACGGCTCGTGCATTGTAAATTATCCTGCCCCTTTCAAAGACATAACTTTCATTCCGGGAAATATACCGAGACTCGCGGCAGGCAAAGGTCTCATTTGAAATCCGAAAAAAAAATTTCAACTTTGTTATTGAACTAGTCCCTATATCTCATTTACAAAGTAGCTCATTCGAAGGTACGTTCGTATACGTATAATTTGGAGTATATAATTTTTATTTAATTTATGTTATTTAATTTATTTAATATAAAAATATTAATATGTAGATACATAATAAATTTATTTTATATTAATATTTTTAAATATTTTTATTTAATTTATTTTTATCAAAATTATTTAATCTGTCGATCTATCAGCGATAATGTGGGATAACGACTCTAGGTTTATCGAACATTATAACAATATATATATATATATATATATATATATATATATATATAAACACGATATTACCCTCGCACTTATAACCGTCCGTGGTGAATCCGGAGGCGCACACGCAATCGAGTATCGAGGTCGCCGGAACCTTGATTGTAACGTGATTCGCGTCCGGGCAGGGTACGCAAACAGCGGTGGAATCCCCGGAAGCGTTTCCAGAAGCGTACGTCCCGTTCGGACAAGCTGTCACGAGGACACACAAAAGAGAGAAAATTTGGAAAAGGCAAAGAGGATCGAAGCTAAAATGTTAAATTTATAAAAGAGTAATTAAATATGTGATAATTCGAAAAGTATGTCGAATATAAATGACAAAAAATACTAAATTTAGAACGCGTCCTTCCTCTTTCACCTACGTTGGCAGAAACCTTTCAGACCAGAACCGAAGTAACCGGACGGGCAGATGCAGGCGTAATGCCCGGTTGTAGTGCCGCAGGTGCAGGTCGCCAAATCGTCGCAGCAGGTTCGATTGACAGCCGAACAAAGACCATTGCAATCAGTAGATAGAGTCACGGGCACGTACTGGCCGGTCTTCAGATCTAATTATTTTAATTAAATTTGTTAGGTAGATTTTTAATACATATAATATACAAAGAGAATTTTCTCTTAGAATTTGGCCTGAAAATCATGGTAATTATGGGACAATATATTGTATTGGAAGAATTTTATTAGAGTTTCTCTGATTAATATTTACCACAATAAAAAATATTAATATTACCATAATAATAAGATATAAAATACGTTTGATTAATTTTATATTATGTGGTAAATATTAATCAGAGAAACTCTTATAAAATTCTTCCAATATTATATTGTTCCATGATTTTCAGGGTAAATTCTAAAAGAAAATTCTCTCTGTGTGTATTTTTTTACATCTATATATTATAAATATTTCAATCTCTAATTATATTTTTAAATATATTCAACTTTTAAAATTGATCTTTATATTTTCAAACTTCAAACTGAATCTTTGATATTTTAAGTATGTATACAGGATATCCCAGAACTATTGGTAAACCTGTTAATGGCAGATTCCTGGGATCATTTGGAGACAATTTTTTCTCAGCGGAAATATCAAAACGAGGCCATCATTATTGCTTACATGTTCTCAATTTTACCACCATGCATCTTTTATAATTAGAAATAGGAATGATATATTAAATTCGACCGAAACTAGCCAAGAAAATTTTTATTTTATTTCCACCATAATTAGCTTTTATAATTAGCTTTAAATTAAGATTCTATCAAAGTAAACTCTACTTGAAATTAATTGAAGAATATGATTTTGTTAATATTTTATTTCGACAAGGTTTTAGTTTGCGAAAAACCCTTTATTTTCAATCGAATTATAACTCGAAAATTATTGGTGCCTTGATATTTTTGCTGAGGAAAAATCGTTTCCAAATGATCCTAGGAATCTGCCATTAACGCAGATTTTACAGATAACTTAGGGACAATCATCTGTATACAATAAAACGTTACATAAATATATGCATAATTTTGAAAGAACGTTTAATTATACGATACGAGATGCGCACCGCGATGCAAGGCGCGTCGCGCCAGAGCCTCGAACTCGGCGAAACTGTCAAGGAAATAGCTATGCGTGTACCCGGGTGGGCTGGCGATGTCTCGCAGCTCTTCTACATTTCCCGTACGAATGCCGAACGTGAACACGGTCGCACCTGTGTTCTTCAGCAAATTGGCAGCGGGTCGCGGATCGCCGCCGTTGCTGAAGCCATCGGTGATCAGAAACACCACCTTGTTCGCCGTTTCGCGACCTTTCTCGAGGATCGTCTTGAAATCGAACAAGAAAAAACAAACTAGCAGCTAATAATTTTTATTTATTTTTTTTGTATATTATTATAATTAGGAAGTAGCAGTAATTTATTATTAGGTATATCATTGTCTCATCGCTTCGATGATATTTTTTCCCAGTTTGACAGTACAATAAGATTATGTGGAGAGAATTTTTCGTTATATTTTACCGCAAAATTCACTGCGTATTTTATCATGTTTGATAATAAACCGAAAATTATCATGAATGATTCAGCTGGATTAAAAATATTATGCTGCATTGTTAAATTTATATAAAATATTTGATATGTTTATCACTTTTTTAGCATCTATATTCTATTTGAAACACTTAAAACATACGTTTTTAATATATTTTTAAGTGTTCTAAAATTATTGAAATTTCACTATATATTTTAGTGAAATTAATCAAACATTTTATATCTTATTGTGATAGATATTAATATTTTTTATTATAATAAATATTAATATTAATCAGAGAAACTCTAATAAAATTCCTTGAATACCATATTGTCCCACAATTACTATGAATTTCAGGCTAAATTCTAAGAGAAAATTCTCCCTGTATAGTTGCACTACGTTCTCCAATCTATCTCCTACATATGGAGAACAAGAAAGGGCTACTTTCCCTCGATAATCCCTTTTTAATTTATCCGGATAAATTAACAAGTAAACGTATTATAGATAGAGAAAGGAGCAGCTAATTATATTTAAAAAAAAAGGAAAAATTTGTACGAAATTTTCACCGTATTGTCTTACGATTACCATGAATTTCAGGCTAAATTCTAAGAGAAAATGCGAACTTACCAGCGCCTCGAGGAGAGCGCCTCGTGTATAAGTTCCTCCGCCGCTGTAAGTGATATTGCCGAACTGCTTGTTCAGCAAATAGCACTTGTGATCGTTCGGTCCGTGGCGTGAGATCTGATCGATGTTACGGTAAACATTGCCCCGACCGCCGAAGGTGATCACCGCGACCCTCGTTGTCGCCTCGTCCACGGTGAAGTCCGAGAGGAGCTTCGTCACGAAATTCAGCTCGCTGCGGAAATTTTCCGCGCCGATCGAGCCGGACGCGTCCACCAGGAACACCAGTTCCACCTGATTCCACGCGATTCAGACAAAACCGTTCGGACGATCGGGAAGAGATTCGCGATGAGGAATTGAAATCGGGGATCGCTCGATTAGACAAACCAAAATCTTCTTCGTATCTTTTTTTTTAATGCTTTGAAATGCGTCTTATTTAAAGAAAAAAGGAGAGCTATATACATACGTCTATCCTATCTCTAGGTCTACCTGATTGGTTTCGTTGCGCAAGCGATCTATGTGCATCTTCAGGAGATGGGACAGAATATCGGTCTTACTTTTCAGCATCCTATCGTCGTCCAGATTCTCGTACCAGTAACGTCGATTTTCGTTCGTTTTGTTTTTATCCAAATTTAGGAACGTAGACGTTACGTCGCCCTCACCTGATGTATTCATCTCTACCGAACCATTATTCGGTCCTCCGTCGAGGATATTATCGGTGCACTTTGCGAGATTGAAAAATAGAGAAAGAACCCCGATTATCAGTGACAAAACTTTAAAAGCTTCCATAGTCGCAGGCTAAAATCGTCTATTATCCGTAATTTTCCTTGAATAATCAAATGAGATTTTCCTAAACTATTTTTTTACGATTACAATTTATAAACAACACAAGTTAAAAACACTTGCGGAAATTCTATCTAGCAAATTTTTGCTATTCTTCTAATTGTAAAGGAAGGAAAAAGATATACACGTGCATCTAACCCGGAGATGATCTTTAGCAATCGTTTCGGCGACTTTCACGTTCAGCATCTTTACAGCCGCGAGAAGAAATGCAGATGTAGCGAGGTGAAGTGTCGAGAGTTTGTCGTAAATTGCACTTGATTGCGAAAGGTAGACGAAAGCATGCCGGTCGCTCATAAGAAAGACGAGGCTCTACTGAGCTCAAGAAATCGCGTTAAAAGAGCGCGACGCGGATGAAGACAAGGGAGCCTCTGTTTCTTGAGTTGACGCGTGCATACATTTGTGTATGTGTGTGTTGTAGTCAGCGATTTGTCTCTCTCATTGAACATATAATAACTTGATTAATATTCGCGCGAAGAAAATCGGCGCCGATTTTTTTATTGCGACATCAAAGATCTTGCAATTATTTAAAATCGCTCAATTCTTTGCGTGTCTTGAAAAAAAAGAAAAGATACGCATATTGTATATTTAATATTTATCCGTGTGCGTGCGTTTTATCATACCGAGATAGTACATTTTTTGAGTTTGTATTATATATACAGAGTGTCTAACATAAGGTGTCACACCGAAAATATATACAAGTACGTAGATCTTGTTATTTGGAGATCATTTTTCCTCGGCAAAAATATTGAGGCATCAATCATTTTCGAGTTATAAGCGATTGAAAATAAAAGGTTTTTCGCAAACTAAGCCTTGTGGAAATAAAATATTAACAAAACCACATTCTCCAATTAATTTCAAGTAGAGTTTACTTTAATAAAATTTTAAGGTTTAGTTATAAAGATACATGATGGCAAAAATTGGGAACACGTAAAAAATGATGATCACCCTCGACATTTTTGCTGAGGAAAAAATGTCTTCAAATAACGAGATCTACTTGTATATTTTCGGTGTGACACTTTATGTCAGACACCCTGTATATACATATAATTATGGGCGTTCACAGAGGGGGGGGCAAGAGGGGTTATTTGCCCTCCTTGGAATCAGTAAAAAAATTAAGTATTTGTTCTCCTTTTGAATAAACACTTAAAATTTATTGTATATTTAATACAAAAATGAAAATAAAACAAAATAACAAATAAATTTAATAAAACAAAATAACAAAAAAATTAAGAAAGAACAAAAATTTTAAAAACAAAATTAATTGTCTCCTTCTAAAAAAATCCTACCGACGCCCATGCATATGATAAATAAAATCACCAACGAAAAATTTCTATCCTATATATTTTGTAATTGATTGATTAAAATTTATTTTAAAAAGCCGTTAATTTTATTTTCGAGGAGAACATATATGTGATAAATTTAACCGCGTTGCTTCATCTTTAACTTGAAATTTTTTTTTTAATTTGTAGCCAAGTGTATTACATTATTTTTTTTAATTTCATCTGTTTCTTTAAATTTTAATATTATCATCAGAGTTCCACATTCTACGTCTTCCTCGAAAACAGAATTGACGTTTTTCCAAAGTCGTACATCAGTTGACTCGAAGATAAGCAAACTTTTTATCTTGACTCACTCTGTATCAGTATATAGGATAACACAAGAGATGCATAAATATTGTATACGAAGCAAAAGTCAAAGTAAAAGTTCCTTGTGATAATTAACTGTTGTGTCAACTGCTAGTCCCTGTTACGCGATGATGCTCCTATATCGTAAGAGCGTTCATGTTTATGTCATGCTTGGAGAAGGGATGAGGCACGCTTATAGTATATCACACATGAAACGAGAGGATCGCTAGACAGTTTCCACTTGACCCTCCTACGTGTCACACGTCAATATGACATGCCGGTTAATTTTTGTGCTTTATTAACGTGGGATATATTGTCAATTTCTGCATCATTCAAACCAAACAAATTTATCATCTCGCTATATAAGTATTTTTATATCACCTAGACGCGTTATAAAATAATTTTAGCACAATCATAGAAAAATATACTTTTAATTAGTACTTTCAAAATTAATATAAAAAATATCAAATAATGATTTACTGAAATAAAACAATTACTATGCGCACGTGGGCAACAAGTGTCAGTGTCAGTCATGTTGGTCGCAAAGATGTTCTTGATGATTTTGTTTTTCGCGATGAGTGTCGCATCGGAAGGGACCAACTATTCGTATCCTTTGCGCGTACTTCGATCATCCGATGACACGATGCAGGAAGAAGTCGAGTACTTCGAGCAGTGCGGTTTCGTGAACTTGTGGAAGGAACACCTCGGTCGAGTAAGCGTGCTGACCTTTTTGGATCCTACCTGGCAGTATAGCTTCAGACAGGCCGTCATGTGAGAATTTTCGTAAAAATCTCGATCGCGATCTAAATAGGTCCCTATAGTTGATCAATCAATTTAGGCTGAAGCTATTGAGCTCGCGCTTGCGGAAATCCGGTTTCCCGGATATCCGGTTTTTCGTGATAGCACCGCTGCACGACTTGACGGAGGACAAGACCGAGGACGATGATGAGATCGAAACGTGGCGCGAAATCGCGGCGATGTTTGGAGAAGACCCCGACATCAATGACTTCCTTACCACCAAGGACAACGAACCGGAAATAATCTACCTTGAAGACGAGTTTCGTATTTGGGAGAGGTTTCGTGCGTCCAAAAATCAAGTGGTCATCATCGATCGGTGAGCGATTTTTAGAATTCGATCAAATCAATAGTTTTCTCTTTCACTTGTTACGTTTATTACGATTTCGATGTTGATTACATTTTCATAGCGTTTCTGCCAAGAGAATAAGCACCATATGTTTAAAAGTTTATAAGATTATTTTCACGAAGAGAATTTTCTCTTAGAATTTTTACCCTGAAAATCATGTAATTGTGAAACAATTTGGTATTGGAAGAATTTTATAAAAGTTTCTCTGATTAACATTTACTATAAAAATATTAATAATGTACATAATAAATTTTACTATGCACATAATAAAATTAATCGAACATCTTAGTATTGGAAGAATTTTATAAAAGTTTCTCTGATTAATTAAAAATATTAATAATGTACATAGTAAATTTTACTATGCCCTGAAAATCATGGTAATTGTGGCACAATATGATATTGGAAGAATTTTATAAAAGTTTCTCTGATTAATATTTACCATAAAAATATTAATAATGTATACATAGTAAATTTTTCTATGCACATAATAAAATTAATCCAACATCTTATAAAATTCTTTCAATACCATATATTGTCCCACGATTACCATGATTTTCTAGGTAAATTTAAAGAGAAAATTTTCTCTGTGTTGACTTTAGGTAATTTGAAAAAAAATAAATTTTTTAATATAGCGACTGAAAAATCTGAATTGATGTTATCAAAATGATTTTAGATGCGGGCAATTAACGTATCACGTGATGGTACCCTGGAGCATTTTATATTTTCCTTACGTAAAAGCGGCTATTCTGTCCACGTATAAGGAAGACCCCTGTGGTGGATGCGATGTAAGTGCATTTTTAAAATTTTACATTTATCACAATTTTTTTTTAATAATTTAAAATATTTACAGATTTATATAAACATACATTTTACTTATCGTTGAAAAATATAATTTTATAGCCCACCAAGTATCAAGCCTTAAATCACGAAGATTATTTCTCGGATTTGAAAAGCACCACTCTTAAAAAAGTGGATCCACTTGAAATCGATGATAATATCGACACTGATTTATTCTGGACCACCGAACAATCTTCGAAGAACGATAGCATTCTTGAGGAATCACTGACAGATAAAAACGAAACGAATACCATATCTCCCATTATCTCCGACAAAATAACACACGATAGCGATGACCCTCTGAAATTCTTCAATATGACGAATGCATCGGTGGTGTCCGAAAATGTAACTTATGGATATGATAATGTTACGATAGAGTCTTCTCCTGACGAGGATCCGAAAGAAACGTCGAGACGAGAGGACAGTTCGACGACTTCGGAGAAAGATGCAACCTCCGCGACACTGGACCTACAACAGGAAGTTTCTCCGACACAAGATGAATCTGCGTCGATGAGCGATAATTCTATCAGCGGGGAAATAAAAAACGAATCGACGACTAACGAAGTAAAAGACGAGTTCATTTCCACGACAGAGACGACGACTGCAGATATCGTTGCGGAAGACGACGAAATTCCAGACAGAGGTGTGGATAATTGTAAATTCAGACGCATGGGCGTTGACAGGGGAGGCAAAAGACATTTGCTCCTCCTTGGAATCAGTAAAAAATTGAGCATTTGCTCTCCTTTTAAATAAACACTGAAATTTATTTGCAAATAAATATATATATATATATATATATATATTTAATTAATAAAAAATATATATAAACTTAATTAAATATAAAAAATGAAAATAATAAAATTAAATTAAAAAATAAGAAACAAAAAAATGTAATCATGCCTCCCCCTGGAAAAAATTCTGTGGACACCCATGTTCAGATATGATGATTCAGCTACGAAGCTAAAAATCATTACTCTGTTCGACGATTATATGTATATATTATATTGTTATTTTGCAGGTAAAAATACCGAAGCGGAGTTATCGTTGCACGTAATTATGCGCGCGCCGCATGTGCACGGAAATGGAAGAAAGACGAGGAAGCACACATATTTAATGCTAAAGATCGGCGATCCCGATTTTCACGAACATCCGGACGCCGGAATCGACGCTACATCATCTACAACTTTGTGGCGGGTACATATGTTATATTTGCTATTTATCTCTCGTGTGTTTTCATTCATTTACATTATTCATCAAGTATTTTAATCTGCATCATTCGCATTTACATTATACATTTTATATTTTATTATACATTATATATTTTAATTTAATACTTTGATGTGTTATATTTTTATTTTTTATATTATTTTATAAATCATCTATCTTGTTTTTATTATCGTTCTCGGAGTCTTGATGTTTAAAAATTTCTCGTAAATTTTAAGGACACCGATCCTCAAGTCGCAAACTCGGAAAATAACGATTCAGAAACAACGGAAATGAATGAACAGAACACCGATCGGATATATACATTCGATAAGGACGAAAGTCCGGGATTGTACGGAGAAATAGCGGACTATTGGAGAGATAACAACAGCGATGCTGATAGCAATGAGTCACTTGACAACGACACTCATAATAATTCTACGGTAATGGTTTCTGTAAAGGCTTATATTTATAGCACATATATATATATATATATATATCCATATGTGTGTGTGTGTGTAGTAGGATCCGAATAATTTTTGTAGTAAGAGAATAAAAGAACTAAAAACTTTTGAATACAATAAACTTCTGTAAATTAATTTTCTATAATTTTTCTAGTATTTAAATCTTCTGTACTTTTTGGAGAGAAATAGTATGACATTTTATTGTTATTATAAAAATATAATTACTTACTAAAGTTATATCAAAATCTACACTGTATATTTATATATTTTCTCATATTAAACATATTAGATTCGTTAAATTAGCCTCGATTTTAATATTTATATATTTAATTAATATTTAATTATTTAATTTGCAGACGAGTTATAACGAAAAACATCATACCAATGTCAGCGGCCAAGCAACGACTTCCTCAGAGTCATCAGAGACAGATGAAAACTACTCAACTACAAATGTTACAACAAATATTAACAACTCTACTAATTCACAGAATACCGTTAGAGTAGACAAGACTGATTCTTCCGAATCGATTAGTGGAAATAATGAGAATAATAAGGAAGAAATGCGAAATAATCTAATTAAACATTATAATAAACTTTTATCTTGGATTGGTTATAGATTAATTAGATAAATCTTTACGTGTTTAAAAATCTGATTAATAAAAATGCATATTCATTATACTTACATCAATTTTATTATAGCCGATTGTGTCATGTATTAACATTTATATAAATAAGTATAGGTATCTATACATTTATGTATCTTGTCAGTATAATACAATTAAAAAATAATTTCTATAGAAGTTATATGTATAATAGATTTATACATATATATAGCATTATATGAGATAATGGAGACATATAGATATAAAAACAATAATGTTATTATATATTTGCAGAAAAAAATTGTTAAAAGAAATTCAAATTAAAATTACTTTACCTTGTATTACAAATTGTAATTAAAATAAAATAATTATTTTGTTCCTTTTATTCAGGTTCACTTAAGTCGTCAGAGTCTAGATCGCTACTGCTGCTGGTAGTGCTACTTGATGTAGTACTGCTTTCAGAATCCGTTTCGGAATCTGTATCACTGCTATTCATTGAACTTGTATTACTCAATAACCTGCATTCATATACACAGTGATTAAAAGTTAGAATTGCTGGAGTAATTAATATTATAAAGTCTTGCTTCAATCATATGTGTGTATATATATATATATATATATATATATATGAGTATATATTGAGTAAATATCTGGATTCTATTTTTTTGGAGCAGTGATGATATGTAAAGCTTTAGGTATTATGAAATATGTAATCAAAGAAATTAGGCATTATTTACACATCATGGAGATAATGTAAGTTAAATGTTTCGAAAACCAGGTAAATATTAAAAATAGTACAAAGAATAATATAAATGTTAGACACACATACACATATATTAAAAAAGTTTTAACAATCAAACCAAATATATATAAAAATACTTACAAATGCTTAAAAAATTGTTTGTTAACATGATATATATTCTTTGGCCTTTAAAATAAAATTATAAACCATATAAGACAAAATTCGAAAAATTTTATAAAGAGATGTCTTTCTACTTACTTTTCTTTCTCAGCATCAGTCAAACACAATTCATCTATTTGTCCAACCATCTCGTGAACAGCATTTTCTATAACAAATCCCTCTGACTGAACAGAATAAGCTGCCACTTCCAGTTCTATTAAATCCAGTCCCATGTTCGCTTTCCTTGGATGAATCTATAAAATATAATAAAAAGTTAAATAAAGAAAATGCTAAATAAATATATTATAAATATAATTTTTTTAAACTTACATTATTTAACATAGAATGAAGCGGTTCTATTAAGGATTCAGGAGATGCTTGCAACCAGATTAAAAAGTCCTTTATATACAATTGATTTAATATGTATCTTGGTTCATATGAGTTGTTAAAAGACTATGGATTTCACAGAAAACTTTAATAATAAATTTTTTTCCTGCACATAAAGACGTTTAAAATAGTAACAATTAACTAAAAAACTAAATTTATATCTCAATTTATACTGACCTAATGTGAGAATCTTTTTAACATCTTCAAAAACTAGTAGAGAAAGCCGCCAATTTCTGTGAAGTGGATAACAAAGTGATCTTCGGAAGCACGCCGTGATAACTTCATCCATAGAAGTAAAATTCTGAAAATATTTAATTAATTAATTTTTTGCATATTTTCTTGTAATACAAACATTTTCATCGATTAACAAACATACTCGGAACCAACATAATGTAGAACTTAATTTATTAATAGTCCAACTACTTTCCACAGTATTTTCTCCTAATGTAGTTCGATGATTGTAACAACTGGCATATAAAATATCAACAAGATTTAAACATAATTTTTCAATATCTTCCGCATCTAATAAATATTCTTTGTTTGGAAGCTCTTTTAACAGATCAACCTCAGCTTCGCTAAATGTAACTTTGTCTTTCTGCAATGTGTCCCATTCCGCAGTATATGCTATATAAGGATCACAACATTCTGGCTCCATAAGATCTGCCATATAATGTTCTTCACTGAAATCTTCCAATTCACATTTTTCTTGTAAACTTTTTCTGTCTGCTTCAGGAGTTGTATCAGGAGAAGGGAGATCTATTATTTCCTTCATCCACGGTGCCTAAAAATTTGCAGAAAAATATGCATTACTATTATTATTATATAATATAACCAATATTATATAATATAATCAATTTAATTTAGTTTCAATTAAAAAATCTTTAAAAAATATTTCTTTGAAAACATCTATACATAATAATAGAATTAACACATTAAAGCTTATCACAAAAAGTATTACAGAAAAGTATTATAGAAACATACCTCAAAAGCAATTAAAGCTCCTGATATTTTGTTTGCAAAACCATATTTTAGGGAGCCTGTAAGAACTGTTGCATTTTCTGATGGATTATTCTGAGGTACAAACCAATTATCTTCAGAATCATCATTTGTGGTATCATTGTCATTTAAACTATCATCGATGTTTGCTGAATTTGCAGATGGATTACCTAAATTAGGAAAAATATATATATTACTAATGCTGTATATACTGCACCAATTATATATATTTATGATTTATATATGTACATGTATAAAAATTTATATATATATATATATATATACTTATATAACTTACCAATTACTTCAATATTAGGAATGACAGTACTTTTCTTTTTCGGTGGTGCTAAAAGAACAGTTATCATATCCAAGTTTTCAAAGTGCTGTCCTTTATTCACTTTCGAGTAACATAAAGCAAAATCACCCTTCTCACAATCATAGGAACCAGAAGATGAATCATTTTCTTCTATTTCACCTGGTAACTGTAATCTATGAAAATCATTCATCGTAAGGCATCATCCAATATATAGAAATCGAGAGTTCGCTTGCGACACGCGGTTTTAATTCGCATAACTTGACATTACCTCAGATAATATGGAGTGGAATAAAATCTGAAATCTGTCCCATCCACATATATTTCTGTATCTTTTATATTAGTAAACGGAGCATGCACTGTTATCGAGATTTCTGTATCGGTTTGCGTAATTTTGAAGCGTGGAGTCAACATTTTGCGATGCTTTCGCCAAGTGTCACGAAATCCTTTATATCTGAATAATATATGTATATTTAATTACAAATATATATGTGTATTTATTAGATAAATAACGAAGAAATTCTTATATACTGTTCGTAGCGTTGATAACTCTATGCCTAACCTTTACTTTTTCCTGTCCTTTTGATTCAATTTCGCTTTGTTTCGTTTGCACTTTCTACACTCAGGGTGCGATTACATGGACGCGCGGAAACGCGGAAACGCGGAAGAGAAAGTAACTAAACTTTACTAGAGTCCCGCATTTCCGCGCGTTCCGTTCCGTCACAGATTAAGGGTCGGCAGTACACCCAGGCAAACTCCGAATTGATATTGGAGACCTCGTGCGGTGACAACGCGAAACTCCGGTTTCAGTGTTGCCAACGCCGAGAAACCAATTCTCGGGTTTTATGTAGTGGTGTATGTCTGTACACGTACATACACCACTGCATCGCTCACGCGGACGCACGTAAGAGAGACAAGGACCGATAATCACGTGTTCTCCTTGTTCCTCTACCGTGCCGGTATACGCGAGATGCCGCCTAAAAATGCTTTCTGGCCTTCCGTAGCAGAAAGCAGTAACGTAGCAAGACTAATAAGCACCCATTTTTGTAAATTTTATATATGCTTATGCACATATGTGGATATATTATTTATATATAAATATATATATATAAAATATACTAATTTACTCTCAATTATATATGCTACTGTTATTATTTATCATTAGACAATTATAAAACAGAGGTTAGAGATTTGGTCTGACTACACTGGCCTCAAATTAAAGTTGTATATATATTTATTTTAACGTTTCGACCATACGGGATGTGGTCCTTTTCAAAAATACAGATTGGAATATCAGAGAGTTACAGCATTTTGTCTTTAAAATTTAAGCGCAAATTATGATTCGGAGAGATTTAACTTGTCAAATAATAAAATATAAAATAAATTATAAAACATATACATATATAATTTGTAGTGCTATATATATATATGTTTTATAATTGTCTAATGATAAATAATAACAGTAGCATAATTGAAAGTAAATTAGTCTACAATGTTAGACACGGGTACTTGTTAGATTTGATAATTTATTGCTTATACTTTTTCGAGAGACAAGAATAAGAGAACGAATATAAATTATTATTAGCTTGTATAGCAATCATAGATTGACGAATATGCGTTGGTTATTCTTGATTTCTTTTCTATTATTGATGTTATTGTATAATTTGCTCCATAAATACTTATAACATAAAAGAACTTATGTCGAGTAATATTGATCAATGCAAAGGATGTTCAGTATGTATCACCCAGTAAATTATTAGAGTTCAAATATATCAATATCAATTTTTTAATAATATATTGGAATACAGAGAAATGATAAAAAAATATATTTCGGCAATAAACATTTTATAAATATATTGAAAATATTTTTACTACACGCGCGCGTGCGCACACACACACACACACACACACCCACATACACACTATATAAATGCAAAATAATACAGAAAATAAATTTTTAATAAAAATCAACATACCAGCTATTTGTGTGTGTATATGTAGCTGCAAGCATGCAACGGATTTATTACTTGATAAATTTATTTACGGATTTATTTTGCATTTATATATATATATATATATATATATATATATATATATATATAGTGTATGTAATTGTAAAAATGATTAAAATATTTTCAATATTTAAAAATTTTCAAGTTTATCGCCTTATATTTCTATAATTTTTCTATATTCTAATATATTATAAAAAAATTGATATTGATATATTTGAACTCAAGTTTTTTACGTGATTGAATATTATTGCATTGAGCCATCATACGTTACTCGTAAGTTCTTTTACGTTATAATAGTATTTATGTAGCAGAGAGAAAGAGATAAGAGAGAGATTATACAATATAACTTCAATAATCGAAAAAAATCACGATAACGCTATTGTCATATCTATGTGTGTGCATATATATAAACTTATATATTATATATTTTATAAATAAGTAAAATATTATGCAGACAATGTATACAATATAAAATGTTCAGTTTGTGCTATGCTTCAATCAATAACACTGGTCAACAAAAAATGACTTTTTTTAGGTTCGAAGATTTCCAAAGCGTATTTTTGTAGATTTTTTTCATGCCGATTACAAATTCGGCCGCAAAAATTGCGTATCACGTCACGTTTTTTAGATATCTTGATCTAAAGATGCAAAAAAGGGCATTTTAGATACTTTTCCGTAAAATATATAGCTTTAAATTGGGATGTGATAAAAAGTGCTACGACGGCTCAAAATAAAACTTCTTGTAGTTTATGTAAAAAATATATAAAAGGTCGAACCTATAAACAGTTTATTGAAAAAACTAAATTAAAAAATTGAAAATATTTTTCGCACGTTTCCTTATACTACTAATACAAAGTCTTTAGAGGTTCGATAGAATGGTTCACTTTTTTCACAGATATTAATGTAAAAATTTCTTCACTGATAAATAATGAATGTAAAATCAGATTTTTAAAATTAAGAAAGGCGGATTACAATTTTAAAGATTAAAGATTAATTAATTTAAAGATTATAAATTGAAAAAGAATATTTAAAAAAATATTCTTTTTATCTATTAATCTTAAAAAAATATTTTTTAATATTTTTATATATTAAAATATACTACCTATATATATTATTATATACAAATAATTGTTGATTATTATATTGCATTATTAATTAATTGAAGTTAGAGCAACATGGCAGCAGCGTTTTTTTTTACGTGGGGGAAACCTTCAAAAGGCACCCCGGTTTTCTGGGGTAGTGTGAGATTCTTACTCACTAAAACCCCCACTATGCATACGTTACATGCTGCAATATGGCGTTGATTCAATGGTATCCACGCCTCTTTATTGAAAGTGATCCGCCCTTCAGACGTCTCCAAATCTATCTGCAACAAGCAACTCTATAGATAATATCAATATAATTATAGTAAAAGAAATAATTCATTATAAAATCTGAAAGGAAAACAATGTCAATTATATAATATTAAAATATCAATTACTTATAATAACATCATAATTTTTTGCGCTTATTGGAAACACAACAATAGAAGCGCTACAACATATTGTTACATATTCTTATCCCGAAAATCGTTATATATAAATATTTAATACAAAATATTGTAAAAAATATTTAATATAAATATAAAAAATAATATAAATAATAAGAAATGTTAATAAAAGAATAATATATGCAATTTTTTCCAATGCAATCAAACATCTATGAATTATATATTTGATTGTATTATTTTTGAGATCTTTTCTATTTTAAAGTTTTTAATGTAGTACAATTACTTTGGAATAAAGATATATAATAATATGTATACAATGTACAGTAAACAATAGCAAAGCAATGTACATATAAATATATATACATACATTTAAATATCTAATCTTTTCTATAATTTGAAGTTAATAAAAATTTTAATATATGTAATTGCTATTGTTTCTGAACATATTTAATAAACAACACAAATTAATAATTCGAGTGGATCGCAATTTAAACTAAGTTAAATAAATATCTTTTATTTTATCCATGTTTATTTATTTAATGTATATAAAATATAATAAATATAAATGTGTGTGTGTGTGTGTGTGTGTGTATACAAAAATGTTGATTATCTCACATTATGTGTTTCAAATTATTATGATTTATTAAATATTTGTAAATAAATCTATATAAATTTTTAATATAAATAATTAAATATTTATGTACAAATAAAATATTTATAAATATTATTTTATTTGTACATAAATATTTAATTATTTATATAGATTTATTTACAAATATATAAATCATAATAATTTGAAACACATTATGTGAAATAATCTACATTTTTGTAAACACACACACACACCCACACACACATATGTAAAAGAACAAGAATAGCAATAATTCTTGCCTAACATTATCTTTCAATTATCGTTTCGTGTACGCAATATATGTATTTCGCATTATGCATCTGTAACAAATTATATCGAATGATTTATTATTTGCATATTAATTTGCATATTATCTACCCAGACAGCACCAAGTCTAAAATTGACGCATAAGATAGCATTAAGAAATCTTTAAGACAACTATCTTATGATATGATATCAAAAAGACATCTTAAAGATATCTTACGCGCCAATTTTGGACTTGGTGTTGTTTGGGTATATACAATAAATAAAATATGTACACAAATAAAATAATATTTGCATAAATATTATTTTATTTGTACATATTTTATTTACATAGATTATATGCAAATATTGAAATAAATCATTCGATAATTTATTACACATTTATTTATTATATAGATTTATATAGATTATATGCAAATATTTAAATAAATCATTCGATTATTTGTTACAGATGCATAATGTGAAATATATATTGCGTACACGAAACGATAATTGGAAGATAATGTTAGGCAAGAATTATTGCTATTCTTATTGTTCTTTTACATATAATATACATATACAGAGAAACAATGATAATACGAAAACCGGTTCTTGCTGATATCTCCCAATAATCGCATTCGTTCAACGCATTAGTGTTTGTGTCTACATGGATGTTACTACATATGCGATGTAAGAGAGACAAAGACAGAATGATAGTCTCTCCTTGTCAAGCTGTTAGCTGTCAGTATGTTACCACGGAAATTTCCCCTGCTCCTTATGAATCTAGTGAGAATCTTATCGTCCAGATATTTCATAAAATAAGTGACAAAACTTTGGTTTTTTTTTTTTTAATATATTCTTGATATAATAAAGTAGTCCGCCAAAGAGTCGGATTTTGCATTTTTGCTCTGAAAAATTTATAATAAATAAAATACGGACTCCTGGCTAACCCAACCTTACCCGTTACTAGCTGCGCATTCCTCCAAGTTATATTATAAATTTTATTTTCATCTTTTTTTCAATAAATAACTCTTTGGCGGACTGCATTTGAGCTTACTGATTAAGAATATCATAAATTTAATAAGATTCATTCAGTAGTTTCGCTAATATCTGGAATATAAGAATCTCTAATTCCCGGCCGGCCGATAGGCGTCTCCACCATGTCGCCTGCCGACCCTTAATAGACAGATCGCCAAAGGCCTGCCTAAAGAAGAGACCGCCATCTTCGTGCGATAGACTTTGCCCCTTACCGACACACTTTGCCCCTGGTTCGAGTCCGTGCTAAAT